ACCCTCAAAGATAGAAATTTGTATCAATGTGCACCTAAAATTAAATTGATAAATTATACCTAGATCCCTTCATACTTGTCACTTAATCATTTAGATCTCTTCACATTTTGAATATTACTCCTACATCTTATGACATTTGTACACGTATAACATGTAACCCATTTTCATTGATATCTATTAATATAACCGTTAAAAAATATAATTTTATCCTAATAAAAAATTATAATTTCATATTACCCTTTNCTTTTAAGGTGCAAAATGAGACAATATATGCGTACATATAGAGAGATTGAGAGAGAGATTATGGGTTGTTTCTCTCAATTTGGACATCTGCCTCTCTCCTCTGCGTCTGCATTCCATCTCCGCCTATTTATAATCTCCATCTGCTGGACATGTAAAGGAAGACCTTGATAGATTTGGGGAAGACCTCGCCCGATATAGAGAAGATATCGATTGTTTGTCTCTGAGAAGACCTCTACTGTTCATCTTTGAGAAGAACAGTAGCTCAATAGATCTGTATCTCGCTTGGACCTCCACGGTTCGTCTCTAAGAACACCAAAAACGGAGCCCTTGTGATTTGTTTCTTTGTCTGTTTCCTTTTAATATCTAAGCACTTCCACGAATATTGCCATGAAAATATTCATCTTTGTCTATTCCTCTGGAGCACACCTGTTCCAAGTTGTTGTAACGTGAAATCAGAGAGATAATTGTCAAACTCTTGGTGATACAAGTATCAGGATTACAGCAGAATCCATTAGATAAGTGTATTGATATGAGCTCAATTTAACCCGAATTAGCTAGCTCCATTTAAGAAATTAATTTGGGTACTACTCGAATGGAATATTTCGGTTAAAAATGGGGTTCAAACTGAGTTAGTATCGGAGTTTACATATTTCGGGTTGAGTTGGGGTGTATCAGGATTAGAGCAGAATGCATGAGATAAGTGTGCTGATAAGAGCTTGAATTTATCCCGAATTAATGTACTCAATTGAGTTAGAAGTCGGGTTTGAACCGAGTTAGAAATAGAGTTTACATATTTTAAGTTGGACTTGGGTTGACTTCCTAACGTACCCAACCCATTCGCATTCGAATACTAACAATGGGGGGCCTCCATTGCTACCGGCCCAGCCCAGCCCAGAAAAGGCTCTCAATCTTAAAGTAGAATGCCACCATATTCGAGAAACGCCTCTCTTTCAAAGGCCTACAGCCTACTCTCTCTTCACCGCCATCAGGTGCTCTCTTTCTCGCCCGCTTCCGGTAGCATTCGCCTTATGTANTATGAGCTCAATTTAACCCGAATTAGCTAGCTCCATTTAAGAAATTAATTTGGGTACTACTTGAATGGAATATTTCGGTTAAAAATGGGGTTCAAACTGAGTTAGTATCGGAGTTTACATATTTCGGGTTGAGTTGGGGTGTATCAGGATTAGAGCAGAATGCATGAGATAAGTGTGCTGATAAGAGCTTGAATTTATCCCGAATTAATGTACTCAATTGAGTTAGAAGTCGGGTTTGAACCGAGTTAGAAATAGAGTTTACATATTTTAAGTTGGACTTGGGTTGACTTCCTAACGTACCCAACCCATTCGCATTCGAATACTAACAATGGGGGGCCTCCATTGCTACCGGCCCAGCCCAGCCCAGAAAAGGCTCTCAATCTTAAAGTAGAATGCCACCATATTCGAGAAACGCCTCTCTTTCAAAGGCCTACAGCCTACTCTCTCTTCACCGCCATCAGGTGCTCTCTTTCTCGCCCGCTTCCGGTAGCATTCNCAAATTGAGATTTTTTACCTTTGGAGATGCACATTGATACAAATTTCTATTTTTAAGGGTATAAATTGAAATTTTTGATCTTTAAAGGTGAAAATTAAGATTTGAACAATCTTTTAAGGTGCAAAATGAGACAATATATGCGTACATATAGAGAGATTGAGAGAGAGATTATGGGTTGTTTCTCTCAATTTGGACATCTGCCTCTCTCCTCTGCGTCTGCATTCCATCTCCGCCTATTTATAATCTCCATCTGCTGGACATGTAAAGGAAGACCTTGATAGATTTGGGGAAGACCTCGCCCGATATAGAGAAGATATCGATTGTTTGTCTCTGAGAAGACCTCTACTGTTCATCTTTGAGAAGAACAGTAGCTCAATAGATCTGTATCTCGCTTGGACCTCCACGGTTCGTCTCTAAGAACACCAAAAACGGAGCCCTTGTGATTTGTTTCTTTGTCTGTTTCCTTTTAATATCTAAGCACTTCCACGAATATTGCCATGAAAATATTCATCTTTGTCTATTCCTCTGGAGCACACCTGTTCCAAGTTGTTGTAACGTGAAATCAGAGAGATAATTGTCAAACTCTTGGTGATACAAGTATCAGGATTACAGCAGAATCCATTAGATAAGTGTATTGATATGATATGAGCTCAATTTAACCCGAATTAGCTAGCTCCATTTAAGAAATTAATTTGGGTACTACTTGAATGGAATATTTCGGTTAAAAATGGGGTTCAAACTGAGTTAGTATCGGAGTTTACATATTTCGGGTTGAGTTGGGGTGTATCAGGATTAGAGCAGAATGCATGAGATAAGTGTGCTGATAAGAGCTTGAATTTATCCCGAATTAATGTACTCAATTGAGTTAGAAGTCGGGTTTGAACCGAGTTAGAAATAGAGTTTACATATTTGAAGTTGGACTTGGGTTGACTTCCTAACGTACCCAACCCATTCGCATTCGAATACTAACAATGGGGGGCCTCCATTGCTACCGGCCCAGCCCAGCCCAGAAAAGGCTCTCAATCTTAAAGTAGAATGCCACCATATTCGAGAAACGCCTCTCTTTCAAAGGCCTACAGCCTACTCTCTCTTCACCGCCATCAGGTGCTCTCTTTCTCGCCCGCTTCCGGTAGCATTCGCCTTATGTACTTGTTCTTTTCCTCTTTGTAGTTCTTCGCTATTTGTTTTTTTTTTTTTTGAGTTAATTGAGCTCCTATTTATCTGATTCATATATCGACTGTGCACGATTATCTGCACTAATTGCTCGGAAAATTCAATCGCATGCACTTACATGTCAGTAGCTAGCCAATCGCGAGGAAGAAATTTGGGAAATCAAATTGTATTTATATGCTTTTGTAATGTTCTTGTTGCTAATTCTCTGCAAATTTTTCCCTTTTTTTTTAAATACTACCTGAATTTTCTGATCAACCTGGTTGTCTGTGTCCATTTCAAGTTTGTTTTTTATGTGCAGATGAAGTTGCTATTAAACTCTATACAACCCCGGTGCTTTAATTAAATCATAAGCCATATTTTCACTGGTTTATAGCTACATGAATGATGTAGATGACTTTGGTTTGTTGTTTCCATTTACGCTGAGAAGTGTATAAAGCTGTACTGTTAGGCGTACTACTTACTTTGGTTGGATGGATGAATATCATGGCCTGGAGTTGGAGGAAGATTCAATCGAAATATCAAACTAATAATGTGATGTTCAATTCCATTTCCAATTCCAAGCCATGAATTCTATGCTCCCCATTGCAGAATAAAAGTCATTTGGATTCATTCAGTGCCAAGTTTCGGGTTGAATCATGAAACTGCAGCTTATTTGTTACACTTTTTTTTGTGTTGGTTGCTTGATTGTTATAAATGCAGAAATTCTTAATTACTGCCTGAAGTTTTTCCTCAACATATTTTTAATTTACTTAGTTGTATACCATATCTTAAATTAGTCAATTTTACCATGTGTGTGGCACTTTTTACACTCAAGTCTTGCTTCTCTAATTCTATTTCATTGTTTATGTGGCATTTCAATGTGCAAAGCTACTGCACCATAACCTCATAAAGGCCTTTATTTCTTTGTTTAAAGAATCCTGCCTTCGATTTTTTGTTCAACTTTCTGTGATTGTAAATTCTTCACTTCTATTGTCGAAAGTCCGTTCATGTGGTGCAATTTTTTGTCTTACTTTTTCTTTCCCTCTCTTTAAAATTTTTGATAATTGAAGTCTGCAAACTTTATTGCTCTGTGGGATAATGTTCCTTCGTGGTCCTTCACACTTCCAATCCTTATAATGGGTTTAGTTTCTTTTTTTTCCTTATGTGTATATCCATGTTCTTTGTTAAGCATCTATCTGGTTATCTTTCAATTGGAACACTTTCAAGTTCTGAAACTAATCTCTGTATCTCTCTCTTTCTTGTGTCAGCTAGACTTGAGCAAAAATGGGGATCATAGAGAAGATCAAAGAGATTGAAGCCGAGATGGCCCGAACCCAGAAAAATAAAGCCACTGGTTATTTGCATAATCAATCACCAATTTATTTTTGTTGATCTTTTCATTGGTTAACCTAAGTCGAGTTTCTTTATGCAGCACAGTAATGACATTTATTATTTTACATGTGACTTGAGTTGATGATTAGTAGAATCATAACTTATTCCTACCCTTCCCCTTCTCTCTCTCTCACAGACGCAGATAAATGAAGAAATATTTCTTAATTTCATTTTTATTGCACGAGTCGTAAATTATTTAGTATTTCACTCGAGATGTAACTACTAATGAGTGATCAGAGTTGCTTGAAGTTACATCTTACACTTTTTTGGTACCTCTTTTGATGTCATGTTTAGTTCATTACTGGTTCTTTCATGCAAGTTTTAGAATAGATTTCCCGATCCTCAATGTTCTATGTATCTCAATCCTCTGTGGGCTCGTTTGGTAGACGTATTATAAAAGGATTAAATATTATATTGTACTATTTTTTATTTAATCGGGCTTAATACTTTGTTTGGTAAGTAAATTTGATACCGTATTAATTTCAAAAATATATACTAATCGTATACTTATCATATATTTTTTATACGATAGGCCTGTATTATGGAGGTATTTTAATACCACAAAAAAAGTTGTATTATAATCCAGCTCAAACGTATTACTCTACACATTTACTATTATAATTCCCTAACTGATAAAATCAAATTGTCATCAATATAACAAACACTGATTCAGGATATTTTTGTTAATTCAACATAAATATAATAAAATAATTTTCTAACCAAACAATCGATTGAATTAAATAACTATTATCCAACGTTTATGTTGTGTATTGTCAAACATTAGATAAAATTACGTATTATTCTAATACCTTATTTAATCTTGTCTTTTGTCCTTTCATATTGTATTAGACTGGATTACTCTATCTAATTCATCTATTTCTAATACGGCAACCAAACGAGTCATGTGTGTAAAGATATTTTTTTGTAAGAATATTGTTATATATTTTGGCAAATTCATGTTGTTTCACTTTTTTATCTGCACAGAATATCATCTGGGTCAGCTCAAGGCTAAGATAGCAAAGCTAAGGACACAATTATTGGAGCCTCCAAAAGTATGTAACTTTTATGATATCCTCTATGGTCGATCTGACATGCATTTTTGAATTTTTTGTTTAGTGGAATCTCAGTTCCCTTGATCTCATGATATATGTTGTGCTTGTGGCTGTTTGGTTGTTACCGAGTAAGTTTGTTTACATCGTTACTTTTCGACAATGAATCAGGGTTCTAGTGGAGCTGGAGAGGGTTTCGAAGTTACAAAATATGGCCATGGACGTGTTGCTCTAATAGGATTTCCAAGGTTTGCCATATATGTCCCCAGGGGTAGAGTTACACATTTGTGGGGGCAATATATTATTTTGAAGCTCTCGTTTTCTATCTATATCTTGCCCCTTTCTCTCACCGTTATTAATTTGGGTATATTGAATAATAAGATTATGCAATATTTTTTATAAAATGAAAACTAGTCAGGATCAATTATAAAGATAAGGTTGTTCAATTGTGACCTTAAGTGTTAAGAATTAAAGTCACGAAAATGACTTCTCACATGCGGAGTAAGGCTACATACATTTAACCCTTCTGAAACCTTGCAATAGTGGGAGTTTGTGCACTGGGTCATCTTTTTTTATTTAGTATTAGCTTAAACTTTTTAATCTTATTATAGTTAAAAGAGTGATATTATTGAGACTTAATTTGAACTTTAAACGTATTGACATCCTTGAGTTAGTAGTGGGTCATAGCATTGGATGTAGTGTATTTGCTAATCCAGTGGTAGCAATGTATGAGGTCTCGGAATCAGGTCTCCAAATTATGTACCACTAGTATTATTGTTTGTTAAAAGTTGCCCTCACTATGATGAAGTTCTGGGTCTGCCCGTCTTTCCCCTTGGTAATTGTTTGTTTTTCCTTTTAAAAACAGAAAAGAAAAAGATAAATTCATTCTCACTGTAACAAAAATGAAATGAATTTGTCCTGCTTACTTCTCTCCAGAGGAAAAATAGGCTATTTTACAAATTTAATAGCTTTCTGTGGAGTTAATATTTTTGTAGTGGTCCTACCAGCTGCTAACTGTTTGAGTTAGTGTGCTGATGGCTTAATTTCATCTAAAAGCAAGCTGAATTTTCTTTCAAGTGTTCACTTAAATTACAGCATGGGAGTTCTTGGCTGCACTTGCTTTGGGTTAGAAATGAAATTGAAGTTTTATTAGCAGTCTTTCTTCCTTTCTCTGTGAGACGTGCATGCACACATATATATCATTATACATTGCCTTATTATCAAAGAGAGCTTTTTCAATGATTTCTATTCTTTGTGCAGTGTGGGGAAGTCAACACTTCTGACAATGTTGACGGGGACACATTCAGAAGCTGCATCATACGAGTTCACAACGCTTACTTGCATCCCTGGGATTATTCACTACAATGATACTAAAATTCAACTACTTGATCTTCCTGGAATTATTGAAGGTGCTTCTGAAGGCAAGGGACGTGGTAGACAAGTAAGTTTCCTTCCTATTGTGACTGTTATGGTCGTCTGGTTATCAATGATTCTTAAATTTTCCTTGTAAATAGATATTTGATAAACGCTTTTTGAATTCCACTATTCCAGTCTTAAATGAAGAAGCTTTTGCATTAGGGTATGCTATTCGGTCATTTGTTCTATTTTCCTTTTCATGAATTTAAATCTCACCCAAATTACACCTCGTCGAACTTCTTATTTTTTATTTCAGGTCATTGCTGTTTCAAAGTCATCAGACATTGTATTAATGATTCTTGATGCGTCAAAAGTAAGTTAATGGTTCTTGGTTAGGGCTATATAGGTATTGTGGGTATTCCTTGTAATCAATGCTTGGCATTTTCTCAATATTACTGTGCTCGCTGTGATTTAAGGAGATAGAGCACTTTTTTTCTGCACTTCATAACAAATTCTTGGTGGACTTGAATTGTTAAATAGGTATATAAATACTTTTGTACTTGCAATATTTTTTGGCTATGCCTCCATCCCCGATTCCGATTCTGGTTACTCTTTTGAAGTTTATGGTTCAGTTCTTCCTACAAAGTTTTTTTAAGGGGCTTGAGGTTGAAGGGCCATTTGGATTTGTCTTGCTCCTTTAATCGCTTTCTGCCCTGACCCTTTGAATTTTATTATTTTCTTTAATCAGCATTAAATTCTAGGCTTGCCAATAAGAATGACAATATGGTTGCTGACTGCTTGATGAGTCTCATATCAACCTATTAATTTTTTTTTGATATTAAGTTTAGATTTGTAGCCTGAGAATTTACACATTTATGGTGCGAGTTGTAAGGTTGTATACTTGAACTGTTATTGCTGATGCAAGTTTTTCTTTTGTTTCTGATCATGATAGATGCATAACATCAGCATTGCATGATTGGTAGATGTGTTCCATTGCATTTCTGGAATTTGGCAGTTTGGTGCACTGTGGGCTGTTGGTATTTCAAATTTGCTGTCATGCTTTCTTGGTTGTAATCGTAAACTAATTGAGAATATTTCAGAGTGAAGGACATCGGCAAATTTTGACAAAGGAGCTGGAAGCTGTTGGTTTACGGTTAAACAAGAGACCACCTCAAGTAATGTATCGTTCCATGGGTGCCCAAACTTTTTATCTAGTTGTTTGACTAGTTTGTATATGTCAAGCTATCTTTTATGAGTTGGTTCCCATCAGAAGTCTGGGCTCAGTTTCCTATTGGGCTTTTGTTTGCTGGCAGATATACTTCAGAAAGAAAAAAACTGGGGGTATTTCTTTCAACAGCACCATGCCGTTAACTCATGTGGATGAGAAGCTTTGCTATCAGATTCTACATGAATACAAAATTCACAATGCAGAGGTATTCGTCTCACCAATTTGAAAACTTTCATTCTTGTACAGAATTCAGTTAGCCCCTAAAATTGTGAGGTAAATAATAATGGCACTAAGTTTGCTGGAATAAATGACTGCCCTATATTTCACCATCAGATTCTGATTTGGTGGAGCGAAAACTTTTTCACATTACTGTGGCCTGGAGGAAAAAGAAGGGGAGGAGTATCGAGAGTTACCAATTTCATGATCATTTTCACATGCTTATGTCAGCCTTGAATCTTTACTTGTCTCTTTTATTTCATATTTTTCCCCTTAATTTTCTGTGTGCGCATGTGTTTAGGGAGTGGGGGTGAGCATGGGTAGGTTTAAGTAAGATTATTTTATTAAAAGTTGCTACAATTATACAAGGAATTCCTGAAGCAATGATCCCAGGCCAAAGACAACATAAGACGACAAACAGATGATGAGGACCTTTTAAGATGCTAAACACAAAGATTGAAACTCATCCTAGCCAACAAAAACTCAAATATAGGATCAGTAAAAATGAGAGTTGCAGTCAAACTCCAGTTACCAGATCGCTCCCATAAGTTGCCCCTCCCTTTGTAGCTGCAAATGGATCAAGTTTTTAGTATTTTCCGAATGACAATAATTTGGTCTGAATATTTTCCACTTAACTGCTATCTTTCCTTCACTTTGCATGTGCTTCCAAAAATAGTACGTTCCACTACATCTATTTGCACTTCATTGGTTTCAGTGACTGTTTGTGCATCTCCTCAAATTCATATGGAATGGTTCCAAGCAACGTTGTTGGTGGGTTCGAATATAAATGTGATTGGTATCATCTATTCTACTGTCATGCAAATTATGGAAGGGATGAATGTTCCAAAAATGTTTGTCCACTAAACCACAGTGTAAGATGTTGAATGTTCCAAAAATTGCCCATTGTATAACTACCAGAAAACGCAAACACCCTAGCAATTTGCGAAAGGAAACGAATGTTCCGAAACATGGTACACCTTCCTTCCAAAAAAACTAAAGTTGGCACTGCAGAAGTTTCAACACGAATATTTCTATCAAATTGTTCATACGCAGATGGAGAGCTAGTATATCTCCTCAAGAAAATGTCTTATATAAGTATGGGATATGTATTTGCTTCTAGGCAAACAGAGCATTTGGAAGGAATGTGGTGATCATACTTACCATGGACATGTACCCTGCAGTAGTATCTGACAAGAAAGCGCACTAGAAGTTCTCTCTAGGATAGCTTGATTACTCCTATTTCAAAGGGATTGAAAGCTTGTTTTAACAAGTTGATGAGTGGATGCTTGAATTACCCTGACATTGACCTTCTAAACTATTCACAATTCCATTTTGATGAATCCCATAAGCCCATCTTTTACTTTTATCCTCGCTGCACATGTTTGTATGTGTGATTGTTCTTGAATTTGGTTGCTAGGTTTCCCATAAAGGTGCCCTTTTCTGATAATTTTTCTTTTTCCACAGGTGTTATTTCGTGAGGATGCTACAGTGGATGACCTGATAGATGTTATTGAAGGAAACCGTAAATACATGAAGTGTATATACGTATACAACAAAATAGATGTCATCGGCATTGATGATGTGGACAAATTAGCCCGACAGGTTAATTCTGTGGTCATCAGTTGCAATTTGAAGGCAGGTTCTGTGATCCTAATTATCGCTTTTAGCATGCAACTTTGTTCATAGCAGAACCTACATAATGTACGCAGACCAGCTGTTTTGGTTCAAACTGGGGGGGGATGGTGCCTTTGTTGTTTTTCCCTAGTTTTGACTTAAATATTTCACATTGCTTTCTGCTAAGTCATTAAAATTAGCTCTTGATTTGGCTGAAATGACAAACCTGGATGCTTCATTGAGTTTTTGTTCCATTTTTTTTTTGTCAGTTATTGCATAAAATTTAACTGGTTCTGGTCAGATAAACAATTTTGAATTGAAAATGTGTTTTCTCTGCTGTTATGCGTGCTGCGAAGAATTGAAAATTAATGGCAATAATGTCTTATAGTCTCACACATTATAGGTTTAGTGGGAAATCGAATGCATACCAGCAACCTGAAGGGGGCACATTTAACAGCACTTGGCCACTTTCTGGCCAAGTTTGGTTCGTCAAATTTCTGTTTTGACAAGCCATCCCCTCGCAGAATATGTTTTTACTATTTCTCACTGGCATTAAAAGCCCAATACATGTTGCAATGCTTTGCAATGCACCTCCGGAAATTAACTGGGAAGCTATCTTCACCTTGTCTGACATAGCATACATGAATTGTTCTGTCTCAAGTGCCTGATTGGAGAAAATTAACTGCCTATTGCCTTGCTTAAACAGCTGAACTTAGACAGATTACTTGCAAAGATGTGGGAGGAGATGGGACTTGTCAGAGTTTATACAAAGCCACAGGGCCAGCAGCCTGATTTCTCTGACCCTGTAGTTCTTTCCGCTGTATGTCACATATCTTCCTGTCATACCATGGTTGTTTTGGTGAAGCTGATCCGACATGTGGAAGTTTCTGATATTTATTTACTTGTTTCAAACATCATTTTTTTAACATATCTTTGTTTATTGGTTGTTATTTTAGGATAGAGGTGGCTGCTCAGTCGAAGATTTTTGTAACCACATACACAGGAGCCTTGTGAAGGATGTGAAATATGTGTTAGTGTGGGGCATAAGTGCAAGGCATTATCCACAGCATTGTGGCCTTGGTCATGTTCTCCAGGATGAGGACGTAGTTCAGATTGTCAAGAAAAAGGTGCAGAAAGCATTTTATTTGAGAATGTATTATTATATTATGTGTTAAAGAAATTGGGGGAGGGATACCTCTTGAAAAGATAAGGTTGAAAAAGAAGAAAAAGAAAAGAGCGTAATACACAATATGGTTTTAGTCTGAGAACTTGGACTCATCCTTCACCCATGTATTTTTATTAAATAGAATCCAATAAATTCTAATAGTAATCTCATCTCCAGATAATAGGATTATGCATAAACTCACAACACTAAACTGTATAAGCAATATTCGAACATGGGTAAGAAAGATAGTCAAGTCTATCTGTCTGATCACTTTCCGCTTCTTCAATGCAATTGTTGGCCTCAATTAGAAGTAAGAGCTCGTCTGCATCTGGACATCCTCGTTGCCTCAGAAAATAGAAATGTCTATTTTTGGTATAGATACCAAGTTCTACACCAAAGAAGTAATCGAGTACCGATAAATTCTTGATTTCTTAGACCATGGCTAATACCTGTAGTCTAGTTATATCTTCCACATCATCACAGTTTACATAGATATCATCGTTATCAACATTAACAAAGAGAACTGTAATCTTTTGAGTAGTGGAAGCAAATCCCAGTTTTGGAAGTAGTTTTGAAATAGTCTTATTGATAAAGGAAGCTTCTTGTTGGTTTTCCAATTACCTGCAAGACTGATGAACGTCTACGCTGGGTTGTCACATCTTCATTTTGATGTTTCATTTCAATTTTTTTGAGCAGCTTTTTAATTAATCGTTGTAACATAGTATTTTTTATTGTGTGAACATACTAGCATCTTTTTTCTGAACAAGTAGGGAGTTGGTAAATGTCATCTGTTAACGCCAGCAATTTTGACTTAATTTCTTTGTAGAGTAGTATCCTTGAAAAGTAAACGTATTGGTTGAGGTCTTAAATTTTGCTAAGTTTGGCTGGCACTGAATTAGAAAGGGATATCTGCTAGTGTGGAGGTTTCTTGAATCTGTTGATTTATCTTGAGCCCAAGCACGTAATCTCTCAAACGAATAAAACATTGTAAACTTGCATTGTGCAGGAGAGGGAAGATGGAGGGAGAGGTCGTTTCAAATCACATTCAACAGCCCCTGCTCGAATTTCTGACAGAGAAAAGAAGGCTCCCTTGAAGACATAAAGAGACATTTGCATGATGGTGCTACTTGGAGGACTTGTGCTACGTATATCACAGCTTGAAAGTAGTGTTTTTTGTGGTAATTAGAGATGCTAGAAGTTTATAAAGTGGCAAATGAACTATAATGTGGGGGAGTAGCTAGAGATTTCCTTAGCATTCTTTCTTGGAGTCTCTCCACTGTGATTGTTATTTGCAGCTTACGTGTTTTGTAAACCCTGAGCAGTTATTCATTGAGATGCCCTCGAAATGTGTTCTCTGAAGTGGAACAAGTGGGAATTATGGGAAATGTTGGCTTGCCTGCTTTCAGTAAAAGTATATGTTCCTTCAGGTCTGCTTTTTTTGGGAATGGAGAATCGTTTCAATAATGCCCTAATAATGCAAATCTCATATAAATGGGTCAAACATGGATTTTACGTTGATAGGAGTTTTGAACTAGAGACAATTGTGACTATGTATGTCTTGTCTGGTTCTTTATGAAGTCTCTATTGGTCTTATGTTTATTGTGTGACTTGTGAGCGTGTTTGGATCCGCGAAGACAATCGCTCGAATGTTCATTCTCCTAACCCAACCCAGGAACGGAACGGAGGTCTGGAATTCAAAATTATGTTTGCTATCTTTGTCTCCTCTTCCCAGAAAATGAAAATTTATCTTCTGATCATGTGCTCTTCCCTCTTCTTTTCCAGAGAAAAAGAAAAGCTGATTGTGCCAAACAGTTTGAACACACTCTTCTTGGGATCGCCAAAAATTCTCACCCTTTCTCTTTTTCAATCCTCCGGAGTTCCCTTTTTTTCTGTCTGGAATGTTGATCATCCTCCACCCTCTTTACTTTTACTAAAAGCTGCCTGCTCTGTGTGTGTGTCTCTCTCTCTGACCTTTGTGTGGGTAATTATGTAATTAGACATTAACAAAGCGGTGAGCTTGAGGGTGATGGCACAGGTGTCAAAGGACTAAATGAAGATGGAGGTTGCCAAGCAGAAGGGGGGCAGAGTTAATCAAAGTGGAAAGACGGGTCCCACTAGTGTGATATTTTTTTTTTCTGTGATCATATGGAATGGTGAACAGCGAAATATAGTGAAGGGGCACACACGTGTGCATGCGCGACAGGTCTGCAGCATGCCGGCCACCCCATCACGTGCGCTGCTGCGTTCTCTAAAGTCATATTGGCCTCTGAATACTATTCTTCCATTTTAGACACGCTTGGTGCCAGATCTCACGTGGGACCCTGTCCAGTTTGGCCCCCACCCTCTCAAGTCTCAACTTGCATTTAAAGCAATGTTTCCTCCTCAAATTTTAATTAAATCTTAGAGTAATGCATAAAGTGATACTAATAATTTATTCTATAATAATCTCTTTATTTTTATTTTATTTTTTTAATCAAACATTATATATATATTAAAAAAAAAAGACGATAAAGTTCAAACTCAACTCAAAAATTTAACAAGAAGATAATAAAAAATAAAACAAATCCCTTACCTTAGTTGTCTACTTTTTTTGGCAAAATTAATAGTACAAACAATTGTGTCTTTTTATCAATACAATAGTTACCTGTGCCTGATAGTAACTTATCAATACAAGCATTTTATCTTCTGAAAGAAGACAGAGTGGTGGTTGTAATTGGAATCAGTGGCCACCACTTTAAAAAATTAGTACTATCTCACCACCAGAAGTAGTGGAATCTATGACCGTGCATGGAAGCCATCTGTGCCCTAATATAAACGGCAAAAAATGACAACCAAGAACATGACAAATCTATTGATCAGATATNAGACGATAAAGTTCAAACTCACAACTCAAAAATTTAACAAGAAGATAATAAAAAATAAAACAAATCCCTTACCTTAGTTGTCTACTTGTTTTGGCAAAATTAATAGTACATACAATTGTCTTTTTATCAATACAATAGTTACCTGTGCCTGATAGTAACTTGTCAATACAAGCATTTTATCTTCTGAAAGAAGACAAGAGTGGTGGTTGTAATTGGAATCAGTGGCCACCACTTTAAAAAATTAGTACTATCTCACCACCAGAAGTAGTGGAATCTATGACCGTGCATGGAAGCCATCTGTGCCCTAATATAAACGGCAAAAAATGACAACCAAGAACATGACAAATCTATTGATCAGATATGTTTTTATTTTTTATCAGCAAAAACAATTGTCAAGAAAACATTCTGAGGAGAGGAATGAAGAATGAAAAGAAGATTAACAACCACTTAGAGATGATAGATAGATAGATAGATAGATAGATAGCTGTAACAGATCAGAGGGGAGGCCATGGGTTTGTCCATTTTCACAGACAGAAAACTCTGTAACATGGATTATTGTATGGTACTTGACCCTGCATGCACCCTTGTAAATGGACAACTGAGAAGAAGGTTGAACCCAGAGATCAACTCATTTTTGTGGTAGATAATTGACTTACTAACAGACTAACAGGCCCTACAATGGATTTTATCCCTTATCACCAANACCCTTGTAAATGGACAACTGAGAAGAAGGTTGAACCCAGAGATCAACTCATTTTTGTGGTAGAGAATTGACTTACTAACAGACTAACAGGCCCTACAATGGATTTTATCCCTTATCACCAAATGCTATATGTATACATATATATCTGTGTGCCAGTGACTTGTGTTTGGTTGGTTTGTGACAACCCCAGCCAAGGTTTGCCCACAAACTGTATGATATAAAGCTGTGATTGCAACGACTCGTTTTGGATTTAGGAACCGCCATTAAATTACTGTTGGGGCAGCTAAGATTTATATATATCCCATGGGGTTGTGGTTGGTCATACCTTGTGTGGAAGAGATTCATGCTAGGGTTAGGGTTTACTGTACTTCTCTTGAATTTTCCTTCATTATTAGCTGACCACTCTTGTGGAATTTGATTGTCTTGCACGTTTCCAAGTACAAAGACAGGAGTATTATCAATTATAATAATACTCAGGCCAACTCTTTTCTTGTTTTTTAAATGATCTTTAAATACTGTTAATTTTTTTTTGTATTTTGTATTTTTTTCTCGTGTCCGATTTCAAATTCAATCCATTACCCTATACTCTATATTATTTATAGTGCTATACATATATAAATCTATAAGTACTTGATATATGTGTGTTTATTTTTGTTACATACTACAAATATGTTTACTATTAAATAAAATTATTTCCGTATTTAAAACTATCTGAAAAAACGTTGCCTAATGATAACTTAATTTAACATCTTCTTTGAGCTGGTGGGTTTGCTGAAGTTTTTTTTTTTCCCTCAACTCCACTCATGTGAATAGGTTATACAGAAAGGTGGGTTGATTATATATTCGGCTTCGAGTTCTTATAGTTACAATAGTTTATTATGGTTAAATTTATTCTTCAGAACTTAAAAAAGGGGGGGGGGGGCTACCTTTAACCTTGACGTAAATGTGAGGGATTTTCTACAGATAATTATGTAGTACTGAAAGACATTTAACGGATATGTAAAGTGATCTATTTATGTATCTATATTATATACCAAAAAAAGAGATTATATACTCTTATGCACATTCTGTGTTTGAACCTTCTTGGGTTACATAATTTCTCATTAAACACCCCACTAAATGTTTCAAAACTTTATGTTACTGAGAAGATTATGCTCATGATGAGGGATAGGGGGGTTTTTTTTTTTTTTTAATCAGAGATGGGGGATAGGTTTGAAGAAAAGAATAGTCAACACTTCGAGGGTTAGGTGGTCTCACACCCACTGTCTCGTATATCTCTCATCATTGCTGTTAAGTTCCCCACTTCAACAGCCGTACAGAAATGTCATTTTTTTTCATCCTAATGAATAAAGAAAGAGATTTACCATTAAAAACTCCTCAATTCACCGTAGATATGATCAAATAGCATGTCAATCTTTTTCATCTATGTATCTCTCTCTCTCTCTTACTCACACACATACACACAGATGTAGGTGTGTATGAACCATTTTCATTCTTTTTTAATTCTAGCTAAAATTAGCAGCTTATCCTAACATATATTTTATCTTCTCTTTTGTCAAGTTGTTTAATGACCAAAGCAAGCAGTAAAGGTCATGTTGAATTTAATGGTATCAGGATGAAGCTCAGCACACAAAAGGTCCCACTCAACTGGCGTGCATGATCAAATAAGCCTTAGTGGGATACTTACTAGTGCATGATTTACATTATATATACAACTAATNTAGGTGTGTATGAACCATTTTCATTCTTTTTTAATTCTAGCTAAAATTAGCAACTTATCCTAACATATATTTTATCTTCTCTTTTGTCAAGTTGTTTAATGACCAAAGCAAGCAGTAAAGGTCATGTTGAATTTAATGGTATCAGGATGAAGCTCAGCACACAAAAGGTCCCACTCAACTGGCGTGCATGATCAAATAAGCCTTAGTGGGATACTTACTAGTGCATGATTTACATTATATATACAACTAATGTCAGGCCAATAGGCCAAATTTAGGCATCATCAGACTATATATCACTTAGTTTTTTCAAATTCTATTAGAGGAGCTTTATATCTATCACTAATCAACCTAGAGTTTCGCTTTTTGTTACCCTCAACTGAAAGTTAATCATAGTACAGGAGTTAGTTAGGTTATACAGATGCAGAACAGCAGAAGGGTATTGTAATCCGTATTAACAAGTTTCTAATGAATAGGAAAGGACATCGAGTGGGCTCTGAGTTTTGTTTCAACTATTTTATACCGAGACTAAAATACTTAAAAATAGGAGAATTCTGTTAGTACACTGACAGGGTCTGGGACCTAACATACTCTCTGCCATTCCTAGGCTATTCTATTTCTTAGCCTACAACACTTTTGACCATAGACTAGCCTTTCCTTTACATGTGGTTCAAGTTTCGTAACCTTTGATTTTGCTATATAATATGTAAGTTGAGCTTTAAATATAATTAGCATATCAAACTGTTATGATTTTGTGGTCCTCTCAACTCTCACTTCCATCTCTTTATGTCTTTAAAAAATATTTGGGATTAAAAAAAGGAAAGTAAATTGTTAATACGGAACCACTTTTTAATGAAAAACAGATAAGGATGCTTGGAATTTTATGCTACTTTTTTTATTTGAGAGGGTTAAAAGTGTGAAGGGCAAACCTCGATGCAACGGTAAGGATATTTTGTAATGATTTGGAGGTGAAAATTGTTTTTTTTTTTTTTTTGTATGGGTAAGGCTGAATACATTTAACTCTCCTCAGAGCTCACAATGACGAGAATTTTGTACGCTACTGGATTCATCATTTTTTAATAGTTTTAGTGCATTTCTATTTGATCGGAAATTTGTTGATATATATCTCTTTAGGGATATGGGGATAAACATGCAATAAAGCATGGTCGGGAATAAACTCCCACTAACCCCAGGATGAGGTTGGTGATGACATAAATAACAAAGAAAGAATAAAGCAAAGAAACGATACAAGAACACAAAGATTTATGTCCAAAATTGAAAAATGGGAAAAAAAAAAAAATTGCATAGATCGTACATACTAAATCATCTGTCGGACTCTACGTTTTTCTTACAAACATGCATCTTGTGAAGTTTGATAGATTTGTCCTACTCCCAAAAAATAATTTTGAAAACTAATAATACAATAAAATTTTACTAGTCCGTCTAGCTTTATAGAAGAAAAAATATAAGGAAAAAAAGTTTAAGAGATTACACTTTTCTACGTTCCTTAATTTGGATTTGGTAAAAAATGAAATTTTTACGCCTCGAATAAATGTAAAAGCGGAAGTTAAAAAAAAAGTGATTATCATTTTTCTCTAACATCTCAACGCACATGATTATCGTTTTTATGCTAAGTCTGTGTGATAAACTTTGCTAGGTTGGAATGAAAATTAATCTATTTTGTTTTTTTTTTTTTCTAGCCAAACACCATGTTCTAACCAAATTGATTTGAATCAAATATAANTAAAAGGGCAAACCTAGATGCAACGGTAAGGATATTTTATAGTGATTTGGAGTTGGAAATTGTTTTTTTTTTTTGTATGAGTAAGGCTGAATACATTTAACTCTCCTCAAAGCTTACAATGACGAGAATTTTGTACGCTACTTGATTCATCATTTTTTAATAGTTTTAGTGCATTTCTATTTGATCGGAAATTTGTTGATATTTATCTCTTTAGGGATACGGGGATAAACATGCAATAAAGCATGGTCGGGAATAAACTCCCACTAACCCCAGGATGAGGTTGGTGATGACATAAATAACAAAGAAAGAATAAAGCAAAGAAACGATACAAGAACACAAAGATTTATGTCCAAAATTGAAAAATGGGAAAAAAAAAAAAATTGCATAGATCGTACATACTAAATCATCTGTCGGACTCTACGTTTTTCTTACAAACATGCATCTTGTGAAGTTTGATAGATTTGTCCTACTCCCAAAAAATAATTTTGAAAACTAATAATACAATAAAATTTTACTAGTCCGTCCAGCTTTATAGACGAAAAAATATAAGGAAAAAAAGTTTAAGAGATTACACTTTTCTACCTTCCTTAATTTGGATTTGGTAGAAAATATGAAAAGTAAAAAATGAAATTTTTATGCCTCGAATAAATGTAAAAGCGGAAGTTAAAAAAAAAATGATTATCATTTTTCTCTAACATCTCAACGCACATGATTATCGTTTTTATGGTAAGTCTGTGTGATAAACTTTGCTAGGTTGGAATGAAAATTAATCTATTTTGTTTTTGTTTTTTTTTTCTAGCCAAACACCATGTTCTAACCAAATTGATTTGAATCAAATATAAGACAATGTGTTGGGAAATTGGGGGAAGTTAATTAAAAAGTTGCAGTATCTTTTGAATGAATGCCCTAAGAAAACACAACCAATCTGACATCAAAAGTCTTAAGAGAGTTTCATATATAAGCAAAAATAATATTATTATTAATTATTTTCTCTTGTAATTAGTTACTACTTACTAAAGACTAAATTCGTCCCCCAACAAAAATCTAACACTAGATTTCCTGTCCTGAGCTTTTGGCGACCATCTATCTATCTTTCACCTTTTCTTTTTTGCACTTCATAATCATCCCTTTAAGTATTCACCCCTTCTTTTACCAACCCATTAAGACTTAAAAGAACCATTACACCATTATTAAATCACAACAAAATCCTCCTAATTAATCAACTTAGAACACTGAAATTTGAATTAAGAAATGAGTCAAAATGTGATGTTTACCATAATCTTTTTTTAAGATCAGTTATTAACAACAATCCACCTTATTTTTATGGTGAGCAAGATTTGGTAGAAAAATTTGGTTGCATTTGAAGAGCCAAGACTTTATAAGACAAAGGTGTTGGGTCAGTTTAAGCGCACATTGACTAATTCTTTCTTTAATTTGGTCAAAGATAAAATACACACGCCGAAACTAGAATATTTATGAATAATAAATTTTTTATAACTTGACTTAAAATTCAAATTCAGAACGTCAAAGTTTACAATTCGATAATGTTACATTTAAGCTACAATTAGGGTGAACCACTACATAAAATAGAGCCCGGAATGGTTAGCATTCAAATTAGCAGGAACCACTTTTTTGACCGATGAACAGCTCAATTCTTTGGTGGGGAAAGGGGTATCATGGTGTTGCTGGAGCCATGGTGAAGCAACTGGGGACCCCACAATACAATAGAAGAAGCAAAAGCCTAAACTCTCTCTCTCTCTCTCTCTCTTCATCCTAATGAATGAGAATTGATGAGAGGAGAAGATCTGCCTTTGCTTTGCTTTGCTTTTACCTAATCATCTTCGCGTGTGAACGCGATCTCGGAATCTTCAGTTTCTTCATCTTTACTTTTCTCTCTCCCTCTCTTTTTCTCACCTCTCTCTGTGATATCATTCCATACTCCATCACTCTTTCTCGGTTGGTTGTTGAAGATCTACCTCTATCTTAACGTTCTTTAAACAAATACCAACAAATTCAAAATCACTTAAAAAAAAAAAANTTAGTTACTACTTACTAAAGACTAAATTCGTCCCCCAACAAAAATCTAACACTAGATTTCCTGTCCTGAGCTTTTGGCGACCATCTATCTATCTTTCACCTTTTCTTTTTTGCACTTCATAATCATCCCTCTAAGTATTCACCCCTTCTTTTACCAACCCATTAAGACTTAAAAGAACCATTACACCATTATTAAATCACAACAAAATCCTCCTAATTAATCAACTTAGAACACTGAAATTTGAATTAAGAAATGAGTCAAAATGTGATGTTTACCATAATCTTTTTTTAAGATCAGTTATTAACAACAATCCACCTTATTTTTATGGTGAGCAAGATTTGGTAGAAAAATTTGGTTGCATATGAAGAGCCAAGACTTTATAAGACAAAGGTGTTGGGTCAGTTTAAGCGCACATTGACTAATTCTTTCTTTAATTTGGTCAAAGATAAGATACACACGCTGAAACTAGAATATTTATGAATAATAAATTTTTTATAACTTGACTTAAAATTCAAATTCAGAAGGTCAAAGTTTACAATTCGATAATGTTACATTTAAGCTACAATTAGGGTGAACCACTACATAAAATAGAGCCCGGAATGGTTAGCATTCAAATTAGCAGGAACCACTTTTTTGACCGATGAACAGCTCAATTCTTTGGTGGGGAAAGGGGTATCATGGTGTTGCTGGAGCCATGGTGAAGCAACTGGGGACCCCACAATACAATAGAAGAAGCAAAAGCCTAAACTCTCTCTCTCTCTCTCTCTCTTCATCCTAATGAATGAGAATTGATGAGAGGAGAAGATCTGCCTTTGCTTTGCTTTGCTTTTACCTAATCATCTTCGCGTGTGAACGCGATCTCGGAATCTTCAGTTTCTTCATCTTTACTTTTCTCTCTCCCTCTCTTTTTCTCACCTCTCTCTGTGATATCATTCCATACTCCATCACTCTTTCTCGGTTGGTTGTTGAAGATCTACCTCTATCTTAACGTTCTTTAAACAAATACCAACAAATTCAAAATCACTTAAAAAAAAAAAATAGACAAACTAAAGATTATGAACAAACAAAGGAGAAATTTCATTTCTCTTGAGTAAACCCCCAAACCAATTAAACAAAAGCACTAACATTTTTTTTTTTTTGGAATTACAAAATCAAACCATTAGCAATGGCTCGATTGGTGTCGAAATGGGTTGTTTCATACACGGGCAATTCTTCCCGATACCTTTCAATTCCAATAGAAGAAAGATTATCGAGTTCAAATAGATCAGAGCTAGCATAACTTGCAGCATCATCATCATCATCGTCCCCATCAAGTGAATTTCTCATATCAAACTCGCACTGCTCAACCTTCTTCTGATAATTCTTTAAAAGATCTCTTGCAGCTTCCTCAACTCTGCGGTGTTTCTCCATGATATGAACTTTAAGCTCTTCATTCATGGAGTTTCGTTTCTCTTTCAGAGTCTGAAAATTTGCTTCATGATGATCTTCATATAAAGATTTATGTCCACATGGTTGACAATCTTCCCCGACAATTACACTCACGGGATAGAACCTCACCGACCTCTTTGTGCCATTACTGCTTAATTTTCCTCCCCTGGAAGATGGAGTCTTGCTCAAACATGACCTTGAGAATGACGAAGCTGATGAACATGTAGATGTGTTTGCAGATTTCAATTTCGATTCATCAAAGCCTCCAGTGGAAGAAATCTTTGGTTTCTTTGCATTTCCTGCGGTGAAAAGAGAATTCAGAAAACTCGAAAGTCGAGCACCAGGAGAGATTGGTTGCTTAACTTTCTTGAGGTCACCATATATCTTCAAAGCTCTCGACTTTGTCTTCACGAAACCTCCTTCATGTTTTGGTTCCTGTTGTGAAATGTAATCTCTCTCCTGACGATGGCGATGATGATTATTGTGTTCTTTTTCGTGATTGTTGAATTTTTCAGGCTGGAGCTGGACTGATGAGACGCTTGTTCGAATTGGCTTTGGCCTATGCAAAGCATAACAAGATGACCTTGATGAAACACCCCCTTGAACAGATTCAGCCTCTGATGATGAGAATCCTCCTCCAGAACTCGAATCTGAAGAGCTCGAGCTCGAATTCAACAACACCGGAACATGAATATCATTTCGTGGGTCTCTTTGAAAATCAGTCAGAGATTTTCTACGAACAACCACCTTCTCGCTTACTTTCTTCTCCATCCATTTCTCGATCATGCAAGCTCGTTGAAAATTGGCTTTATCTTCCTCATTCTGAAAGCCACCACCATTGCCTTTCACAGTGCAATTACTGTGTTTCTTCCTCATGGTTTCTCTGCAAAGGACTAATTCTTCTTCTCCTTCGTCAATTGAACGATAGATTGCATCGAGTAGTGTTGATGAGAAAGATGGGTTTTCTCTCTCTCGCGGGTATTGATGCCTATCCATCTCTTTATAGTTGAAGAATTATACAGAGAACAAAGAAAAGATCAGTTTTGAGGAACACAAGAAGAGTTTATGAATGATATTAACTCTCTTTATGGTCTGCTTTGAGAGAGTCAAAAGCTGCAAAAGAGAGATTAACAGAGGCAAACAATATCATGTGAGAGACCGAAGAGCTACTAAACACACATCTCAACAACCGGATGCTTTTGTGTTATAGTTCGTGATGTATTGCAAAATGGGAAGGGGAACAAAGTAGACAACAGTCATTGATGTGGGTTTGATGGTTTAGAGAGAGAGAAGGGTTGGAGAGAGAGACAGTAATGAAAGCCAGAGACACGCCTGACTGAGTACTGATGAGAGAGAGAGAGAGAGAAGTGGAGAACAGGAGAGAGAAGAAGAGAGTTCTGTGTCTTCGTGCTCTACTTGCACTTATAAAGAGTGGGAGTGGGAGTCGGAGAGTCTCGTCTTTAATGCTCCGCTTAATATGGAGGATAGAAAATAAGACGATTTGATAAGGAGGATAAAAAATAAGAAGAATATATTTTTTATTTTTTAAGGATAAAAAATAAGAAAGGTATATATATTTTTTTTGTGTTTGGTTGTATGGATAAAAAATAAAAATGATAATTTTTTTTTTTTTGTAATAGTTAAAATTAGGGATGACAATCGAGTCGTATTATATTAAATTCATGTTGAGTCATTACTGATTTGTGTCGAATATTAGTCAAACTTAACTTAGTTCATTTAATTAATTATGTCGTGTCAAGTTGCAAATGAATCTGTTTATTTTCGTATCGAGTTCGAGTCATGTTATCGTGTTAAGTCGAAAATTTTTATCCTTAGTTAAGATCAAAAAATATATATTTTTAATTTAAAACTTTTATTTTTTATTTTATTTTAATTTTTTTAAATATATATATATATATACGTACATACATATTTTACCGTTGTATTTTTATATAAATTTNATATATATATATATATATATATATATACGTACATACATATTTTACCGTTGTATTTTTATATAAATTTAATATATACATAATATATGTATATATATATATATATATAGACAAATAAGATACATATCAATACATATAATTAATTTTTTATCCACTTTTTTTTCCGATTTTAGAGGGATTAATTTTGATAAATTAGAAAAAAAGTTAATCCATTTATTTTTCCATCATTCCTACCTTTTTTATCAAACATAATATTTTATTTATCACTCTAATTTTCTATTTTCCTACTTTTTTTTATCGTATTACACGGAACATGAATTCGGAAGGGCGTAGGAGGTTGGTCCTTGCTGGAGACGAGGCCAGGGTGGCATGATGACGTGGCATTATTAATTAGCTTTAATAATTACCTTCTCTGTCCAACACTTGTTGTCTTGCTCCGCGTGAAGTGACGTAAGATCCTTAACTTTTTCCTTCCCTCAAAAAGAAAAGTAAATGTAATTACTACTCCTCTTGCATTGGGAGTGGTGCCAACAACGTTTGTTCATGACTAAATTTTTTTTGGTACTTAAAAATTTGTCTAATTTATTGGCGTGATTTTATAAAATTTATTAGATCAATAATAAATTCTAATATTTTATGACATTTATAGTCAATTTAAAGGTCACAATAAATATAAATTTATAATTTTTATCGATAATTTGAACCTAAATTAACAATATTAACAAAAAAAAAAATAAATAATTTGAGTTCTCAATCATATTTTCATGTATGAAAATGAATGTAGATATTTCTATTTCTCATTTATTCTCTCAAAAGCTCATCACTAAGAACTTTTAAAAATAACACCAAACATTTTACACCATGTGCTTTTAATTTATTTATTTTTTTACAGCTAATTAAGGAAGAGAATATTCATATGGGGTTTGATTAAACATCTAACTCTTAGATTTTACTATTTTTTACTTTTACTTTTACTTTAAATGCTGAACTTGAAGTTCATTACAACCAGTTTATAGTGTGAAGTAACTTAAGTTTGATAGTATAACAAGATGAAGAAACAGGAGAAGAATACACTCCATGAGTTATGGCATTTGGTTTTTCGAAATTAGTAAGATCTTTTTTAGTATACTTTTTTTTAAAAAAAAATTATTTAATAATAGATTGCCTGTTTTAAATGTCGAAAACCACTTATATGGAGAGACCCACTTGAATTNGATTTATAGTCAATTTTAAGGTCACAATAAATATAAATTTATAATTTTTTATCAATAATTTGAACCTAAATTAACAATATTAACAAAAAAATAATAATAATAATTTGAGTTCTCAATCATATTTTCATGTATGAAAATGAATGTAGATATTTCTATTTCTCATTTATTCTCTCAAAAGCTCATCACTAAGAACTTTTAAAAATAACACCAAACATTTTACACCATGTGCTTTTAATTTATTTATTTTTTTACAGCTAATTAAGGAAGAGAATATTCGTATGGGGTTTGATTAAACATCTAACTCTTAGATTTTACTATTTTTTACTTTTACTTTAAATGCTGAACTTGAAGTTCATTACAACCAGTTTATAGTGTGAAGTAACTTCAGTTTGATAGTATAACAAGATGAAGAAACAGGAGAAGAATACACTCCATGAGTTATGGCATTTGGTTTTTCGAAATTAGTAAGATCTTTTTTAGTATACTTTTTTTTAAAAAAAAATTATTTAATAATAGATTGCCTGTTTTAAATGTCGAAAACCACTTATATGGAGAGACCCACTTGAATTAATATCAAGTGATCCACTAATAACAAAAAATGGGAAAAAAAATATAGTGATTGATGATGTATAAACTTGAAACGTGAAGGAGACGCTTAAGCTGAAGAGTTCAAGACTTGTGAACAGTAATACGCAAGTGGTTATTGGAGAAGAAAATGATCCGAGGTGGAGTCTGGTAGCTCTACCCCATACTACAGTAAAACCAATGATTAGGCACGAGCTAAGGAAGATATTATAGTGATTCACCAGCTGAAAAGTTTGACTAATGTACTTTAACGGAGTCTTTTGCCCCTTGGGAACTGTCTATTACTTGGAGAAGAAGATAGGGTTATATTTTGTTAGATGTTTGTATAGAGAAGACTTTTTTATTTATACCCACAGATGGGGTGGTTCCCCTATGTTATCATCACATGGTTATCAAGTTTGTTAAAATTTTATTGAAGAAATATTGAGTCATTAAAAATTACATTCCCTAAATGTGACGTGACCTTCTAAGCAGATATTGAGGTGCCCTTGTGACTTGTCTTCATGCTTGGATACGTCATGGTTCTCCATATCTTTGGAACATCCTAGAGTGAGGTTGTTCTCCTTTAAGATGACCTTCTTTTCTTTTAGCCGACTCGTGAGTAGGGGAGCTCGATCCAAACACCTGTCCTGAATTAAAGATGCTAATTCTCTTTGTGATGCAGCGTGAACAACTAGGACATTTGTACTTGAGGTTGCTCTTGGGTGACTTAAATTCCTTTAACTGAGAATGTATGTGAACAACCTTGGCTTTTTATCCAATGAAAGACGTGTAGCCATAAGATTGGGGGATAAACCTCATATGTTGGCTCTTTCCAGAACTNCTGAATTAAAGATGCTAATTCTCCTTGTGATGCAGCGTGAACAACCAGGACATTTGTACTTGAGGTTGCTCTTGGGTGACTTAAATTCCTTTAACTGAGAATGTATGTGAACAACCTTGACTTTTTACCCAATGATAGACGTGTAGCCATAAGATTGGGGGATAAACCTCATATGTTGGCTCTTTCCAGAACTAATTACCTAATTAACCTTTAATTTATAACCGATGCCATTTTTGAGTATCATCATTGATGAATATTTAGATCTCAGAAAAAACCAATGGCTCACAATACTAAATAGATGCTAAAAAAATCTATTTTGCATGCATTTGTACACGTGCATGCACGTGCAAGGACGACAAAAATAAAAATAAAAAAAATACCATGACTCTGCGAGGCAAACATTCCTTGTAAGCTAATGGAATGAAGACAGATAAATAAATCCATCAACTTAATATCAACGCAGATAACCGAAAGATAGTCTTAAGAGACTCATTGGGCTAATCCAGACATGTGTAGGTAGAAAATATAATCTTACCCACCCCTTCATCATCAGATTATTTATAGAAACTCCACNGCTAATGGAATGAAGACAGATAAATAAATCCATCAGCTTAATATCAACGCAGATAACCGAAAGGTAGTCTTAAGAGACTCATTGGGCTAATCCAGACATGTGTATGTAGAAAATATAATCTTACCCACCCCTTCATCATCAGATTATTTATAGAAACTCCACACTTGTTAGCACAACATACATAGGGTTGGTGGCTACGGGACTATGTCCCCAACTTTTATATGTGCATGTGTGCTCTTCAGAGAGAGATAGACAGAGACAGAGACTGTACCTTGGTGGACTCTCGGCAATGCTTATATGCATAATCATTGCACTCGTGGCTCTCAAACTTTTGGGGAGAGAGAGAGAAAGAGAGGGAAGAATTTTTTTAATGCCAAGAAAAAGCAATGAGAAGGTTAAACCAAATACTCATAAGAATTAAGCAAGAGAAAAGGCCAGAAAAAAAGCAATGTGTTCTTGGTGCCTTGTCACGGCTCTTCTCTCTCTCTCTCTCTCTCTCTCTCTCTCTCTCTCTCTCTCTCTCTCAATTCTTTTAGGCCAAGGTCACGAAAGATTTATACATTATGAATATCCTAATCCTAGCATAGAAGTAAATGTGACACCATATCATTATTGACACATAATGTCACTATCTATATTACCTTTTAATTTTTTAAATTATTTTAAATATAAAGAAAGGTGCAGTTTGGATTTACCAATAAAATAAATGTACTACCTTCATTTTTTTTTTCTCAAATAGAAATTCATAATTCCCTCTTTATCCTCATTTAATATCCTACACTCATGAATTATTATTCTATCCTTTGGTGGTCAATATCTCCCTATTTCACTTGTTTATAATAATCATGGCCCATAGTATAAAGCATGCCAAAGTATGAATTATTGAGATCACGGACTGGACACATTCCGATCATCTTCCCCAAAAGTTTTATGTCAAATTTCAATGCAAATATAGGAGGAAATTAATGAAGGGCGGAGTTGGCCAAGTTGGGAGATTCCTTTCAGATCATGGGGGCAAAATGAAAGTTGAGATTCCATTTAGATCATGGAATGACCATTTCAGGGACCCAAAATCCTTACTAGCTTATAGGTAGATGGACAATTTGACATGCCCTGGTCAAGCAAAATGCTCTTTGCATCAATTTTCCATTCCCATCATCCCACCTAAGAATGTATCAAAAATCATTCTTGCTGGATGTAGACTCTAGTGCATGTCCACCATCCTATCCGAATTGACACCTCAAAATCATAGGGTGCATCTATTTTGGACCTGATTATGGTACCCACAAAAAATTTAGAAATAGTACCTTTAAAATTTATTATTTTAATAGGTATTTTTATAATTTTTGTTGGTCATTTTACAACTACAAATTTATCACTGTTATGGTAACTATTTTTACTATGTTTTTGTCAATACAAAAATAATTACCACTTTTGTATGTGATTTACTCCATTTGTGGGTATTCTTACCATTGTTGTTAGTGTTTTAATCACTTTTTTNTATCGTACCTTTAAAATTTATTATTTTAATAGATATTTTTATAATTTTTGTTGGTCATTTTACAACTACAAATATATCACTGTTATGGTAACTATTTTTACTATTTTTTTGTCAATACAAAAATAATTACCACTTTTGTATGTGATTTACTCCATTTGTGGGTATTCTTACCATTGTTGTTAGTGTTTTAATCACTTTTTTTTCGATACCACAACAGTAATAAAAACACTCAAAAAAATAGTAAAAATAACCACAAATATGATAAATGAAAATATGGTATCAAAAAATAAAATTGGATACCATACACAAGTCCGTATATGTTAGTTTTTGACCTAATTNAAAATATGGTATCAAAAAAAATAAAATTGGATACCATACACAAGTCCGTATATGTTAGTTTTTGACCTAATTTTTACCCTTTTTGATGAGAAAGAGAGTAGATATGACTAATTTTAGATTTAATACGCAAAGACAATATAAAATTAACACAATTTATAAATTTCAAGTCAATATAGATTGGGTTGTACACGATATATGTATAACATGACCTCAAAATGTCTCAGATCTTCCTAGATATAGATCAAACATGAATTAAGGAATATTCTACATATGATGACTTAAACATGAGTCGCAGAATAAGAACCATCGGGGTTTTCTCGTTTGTCTAAGAGTTAGGGAATATTAATGTTCTTGTAGCCTAGCACATTAGTGAAACAGAAACTACCCCTACTCAAGTAAGTACAAGAGCAAAAATAAACAGAAGTGATGAATAATGATGAAGAAATGGGAAACCAGTGTAGTTTGTCGTGTGCACAGAGTCAGCCACATCATAAAAAGCGATGGGCTAAACCAGTAAAACGAAGTCATTCAGTGGCTCTTTATGCGATTATGCCATCTGATCTGTCAGACTAGTCTAATCCAACTACCATTTGGGAGCAGTGGTGTCTTCGACTAGAGCTAGCTCATGTCATACTCAAAAATGGCCGTCCTAATCCTACCCCACCCAACGCACTTGGAAAATTAGGGTTCAAGAAACCACCACACCCTCTTTTGTTTTTCTCATTCATTTCCCATGGGGCTCTCTAGTCTCGCTCTGCATACACATCTTCCACCATTGGGCTTGCAAATTTTGATTCCAATGTAGTGACCCCTTAGTGTATCTTTGTATGATTTTGGGGTAAGGAATTGAATTAATTTTATTAAACTTTTTTAAAACTAGCACTCATTTTTGTGTATGTGGAATTCATATATGAATTATATCTATACCCGTGTTTAGTAAGTAATATATATACATATGAGATCCACAAATTTATCATAATTAAAAACACATTTATTTTGTAAATAACTATATTATTCGTTGGTCAATTCAATCTATATAATTATAGAGAGTAGTAATTGGTGAAGAGGGATTGAGATAAAATTTGGTAGATAACAAGTTTTATTAGAAAAAGAAAAATTATTTGACGTAATTAACATAAGCTAAGATATATGAAATCCAACCNTTACATATGAGATCCACAAATTTATCATAATTAAAAACACACATTTATTTTGTAAATAACTATATTATTCGTTGGTCAATTCAATCTATATAATTATAGAGAGTAGTAATTGGTGAAGAGGGATTGAGATAAAATTTGGTAGATAACAAGTTTTATTAGAAAAAGAAAAATTATTTGACGTAATTAACATAAGCTAAGATATATGAAATCCAACCCCCTTCAATTTGCCCAACTACAATATATGTGAATTTAATATACCCTATTACTTACGGGTCAAAAATATAAATTCCGTATTTAAAAATTCTAACAAAACACAAAATTACAGAGTCTATCAAGCTCCCCTTCCAAATCCCCCAGACCCGATAAATAAACAGGCCTTAAGGTTCGGGTTTCAACTTTAACTTCCCTTCCATATAAACAAAAGAAAAAGAGCAAGAGAGCTGTTGAGATTCAGTGACAGGCTGCACGAGCGCCAATAATTAATAGGTAAATCCACAACCCCCACTTCCTTCCTTCACAGTAAGACCAACCTAGCACGTGAACCCCTGACANGGTCTATCAAGCTCCCCTTCCAAATCCCCCAGGTTCGGGTTTCAACTTTAACTTCCCTTCCATATAAACAAAAGAAAAAGAGCAAGAGTGCTGTTGAGATTCAGTGACAGGCTGCACGAGCGCCAATAATTAATAGGTAAATCCACAACCCCCACTTCCTTCCTTCACAGTAAGACCAACCTAGCACGTGAACCCCTGACACAAACCCCACACACCTGTCGGGGCACGTGCAGTTTTGCTTCTCACGTGCCCTCCATTAAGCTTCCTTCCAAACCCACTGGAGCTTTGCCATGATGAATCATGTGCATGCTCAAAAAAAGTTAATGTAATACACAATTAGGTAGGGATCGGCTTAGCATAGGGTAGATTCAAGTTCAAATCAAAGTACGAAAACAAGTAAATATCTTAAGTGCTGTTTGATAACCATTATCACAAAAAAAACAAAACTCAAACGTAACCTTAATAACAAAAGAAAGCTTGAAATTTCAAATATACCAAACTTAAAAATACATACAATCAATGATATTATTATCAAATCCTCGTGAAAGGCACAAAATATTAATCCTACATTTATAGTGATTTCTCTTCGGTACAATTTATTTTAAACCAACCCGAGGAGGAGGAATTGGCGTACGAAAAGAGACAGATAGAGAGAGAGAACTTTAATTTGAGATAAAGGAACGGCAATGTGGATCATGCAGGGAGGGGGGAATAAAATCATGATAAGAGGGGTGTTGGAGATCCCGAGGAAGAAGGAGAACATCCCACATCTTAGAGAGAGATAAAGAGAGCGAGAGAGAGCTTCTTTCTGACAAAAGTAGACACAAAGAAGCATAACCTCTAGCATTCACACATACCAATAGGGCTGGGTTGCAAGAACCAGTTACAAAAAAAAGGATCAACAATTTAAAGTAGAATAGGCTATTTTTTTCAAAAGAAATGAACCAAGATTCGTGATAGAAAGGTCATAGAACCAAGCCCCAAGGATTTCATCAGCCTTTACGTTTTTGGGTAGCTTTCCCAAAACCCTTTTGTTTGGATTGAAGTTCCTAAACAAGATAAACTCAAGTCCAGTCACATAGGCCATGACAATACAATCCAAGTTTTGAGACCCTAAATCATGTAAAATGGACCTGCACTAAACACATAATTGAATCTAATGTAAATGCAACAAGAAAAACATTAACCTGAGACATAGACCACTCGAATGTACCAGCAGTCTTAGTCATATAAGGCCTACCATGGGCGCAGCCACAAATTCGTCTCCAACTATTTAGCGAGGCGCTGGCCTCTTTGTGGAGGAGACGGAGACTACTTGGTCCTTGAAATCATTTGTCAAACAAAACTTTTAACACAACTTGATGCATTGATTATAAAAGATTGGGTTCACATTTCATACAGAAAAGGGCTGAATTGAACACCTTTTCAGTAATTCCCTGTCCAATTCAGGAGACCCAATTGAGTTTGTTGATAGGTACCAACTTGGGCTCCTCCAACTCCAACATTACCACCTCATGGCAGAGGCCGCAGGGCCCATTTTATGGGGTGTAGGCTGTGGAGGAGGATGGTACAAGCCTGGGAACTGCATATGAGATGATTGTGCTACAGCAGCTGCTGGATTGACAGAAGCGCGACCCGTGTGTGATGGCAAATAAGCAGCATGAGGCGTTTGTGTGGCATGTTGTAGTACCAAGCTGATTGCAAACTAGGAGCATCCCTTGGATTCATCCATATTTCAGATGTCTCAGCCTGTCATGAAATATAGAAAATGGCAATCAATTTCTCATCCACAAACAGTTCACAACATAAATAGGCTGACCATCGAATTTAATGTCAGATTAAGCACATACTAACAAGAGCCAACCAAATTAAAAGAAATAAGCAAAGGAGAGCACAAGAAACAAAATACAAACGAGTACACATTCTTTTATGACACAATTGGCATTGAATACAGCACTAATGTACTTTTTGGCACAATATGNTTAATGTCAGATTAAGCACATACTAACAAGAGCCAACCAAATTAAAAGAAATAAGCAAAGGAGAGCACAAGAAACAAAATACAAACGAGTACACATTCTTTTATGACACAATTGGCATTGAATACAGCACTCATGTACTTTTTGGTACAATATGTTTCCATCATTGCAACAAAGAAATCTAACTTCAAATTTCTAACCACATCAGATAATGAGAGGCNAATGTACTTTTTGGCACAATATGTTTCCGTCATTGCAACAAAGAAATCTAACTTCAAATTTCTAACCACATCAGATAATGAGAGGCAATAATCCAATACCAGTTCTAGGGCATAATGCATGTGCTACAAGTCGGGAAATAAATTTGAGTTATTCGAGGGGTGTTAATGACTACCTGACCCTTGCACAAAATCCTTGCAAACAGTGAATATCTGTGCAAAGGCCACCAGTGATGTAAAATAATTTGCAGCGGATTTCATGAAGCGAGAACACAGATGCGCATCCAACAGTACGAAAGCGAAATCCTGGTTCTAGAAGCTTCATTTGATACTCATTTTAACAAGAAGGATAGTATATGTATGTGTGGTCAGTAACGGTTTGCTATATAAACGGTTATCTTTGAAGCCTCTGAGACAATAGACTTTATTCACTAATATTTCAGAGTTTTCTCACATTTTTCCTTGTGGATTCAAGGCTGTCTCCCGGGGTTATATATGATTGTTTTTCCACAGAGAAACATGATTTTCCTTGGTTCTGTACCACTACATCAACTAGGAGGAACTCAACATTGGAAATTTCTATAATGCATTGTTTTGTAACATGAAATTGTGACATCCACTCATCTCTAGTCTTCATCTTGATTTGACTGTTTTCCAAATCAAACGAAAAAATATTGAGCAGTGACAGTTGCACTGGTCTATCAAATCCAATTCCTAGCCTAGACTACCAAGATCTTGTCAGTTAAAAAATAGGACCAACCCCAAAGCAAGTACTGTGGCGCACAAATTCGATCTGTTTTTGTAATCAATCAAATATCCCATTGGTGAGGTAATTAACTACAAATCAAGTACCTTGCAGAAGGTATGAGTCACCTGTGGATTTGGAACAAAAAGATTGCTATCTTTGTACTTCAGCCGAGATGAATCTTCAAGTCCTGTGGCATTGCCAACACCACCAGATGCATTGATGGCATAACCAGTTGGACTTGTGAAACTTCCATACCCTGNTAAAGATTGCTATCGTTGTACTTCAGCCGAGATGAATCTTCAAGTCCTGTGGCATTGCCAACACCACCAGATGCATTGATGGCAAAACCAGTTGGACTTGTGAAACTTCCATACCCTGTGGGACTGCCACTGGGGACAGGCTTGAACTGCTGCATTCCATACTTAAAGCCACCAGCAGTCAGATGGGAGCTACCTCCAGGCATCAGCAGGTAACTGTTGCCATTTGAGGGGTGTGGGTAGGCAGGGTTGCTAGAGTAGCCAGGCATGGCCATCGGTGGGACATAAACAGGGGAGATGAACTGACGATATGGCAGCAGATTACCAAAATGGGAAACANTATAATAGTAGATTATATGGTATTATTTAATGTTTGGTAAATGATGCGGGACTCTGTCCCAGGTTTGCTGAATACACTGGAGACTCTAACAGAATATATAGATGAGTAGCAAAAAAGCATACATTTAGCTCTTTACAGTTAAAAGGAAAGGAAACAAACTCATTCCACTTGCAGAAAGAGGCCNCATAATAGTAGATTATATGGTATTATTTAATGTTTGGTAAATGATGTGGGACTCTGTCCCAGGTTTGCTGAATACACTGGAGACTCTAACAGAATATATAGATGAGTAGCAAAAAAGCATACATTTAGCTCTTTACAGTTAAAAGGAAAGGAAACAAACTCATTCCACTTNTTTGTAATAACTAAATAGCCCTCTTTCGCTATTCTCAGGCAGTGTGCCTAACCAACTGTGCATAATAGCATGCTAACCAACAAGCCCCTGAACAGTTTGGAAAATCTCCACACAATCTNTAAAAGAAAGGAAAATACACGTAGCAACAAAAAAGGAGAACACAAACATGTTAGCAGGTCTTAGGCACGTTTTAAATGTGATTCTTTAAAAGTTTACTTGGAGCGTTTCACATGAAAAGGCACCAAAGCAACTTCTTTAAAAGCAGGAAGTTGCCATGTAACCNAAAAGAAAGGAAAATACACGTAGCAACAAAAAAGGAGAACACAAACATGTTAGCGGTCTTAGGCACGTTTTAAATGTGATTCTTTAAAAGTTTACTTGGAGCATTTCACATGAAAAGGCACCAAAGCAACTTCTTTAAAAGCAGGAAGTTGCCATGTAACCATAAATTTGGAATTTTGACAGTCAAAAGCTCCCTTTTGTTGTTATTCTGAACCCAAAAGTTTTCAACTTGATGAATTTCTGTGTTTTCAAACCAAGATANTATCACCTTCTGATTCACAGAGATGTTTATTGAGACAGTTTATCTTGCAACTGAGCCACATCTGTCTCTGAATACTCAGAATGATCAGCAGGCGGAGAAACAGATTTTGCAGGTGCTCCAATAATGCTTGCTTTCTGGCTTGACTTTGGTTTCCACTCCTTATTAGGCTGAGGGGCTACAATAAAAAACTCATGGTCAGTTCTGCGACTTTTGTCTTCATAAAAGAAAGTGGTGTATCCACGTTTAAAAGTGCTCAAGAAACTGGTAACACAGAAGCATGATAAGAAGCTATTTTCATACACTACGATGAAATGGAAATCAAAATAATGATATATCAAAATCCTAGATTGATTTTATAAAGACCTTGTATACCACACCGAATGATTAGAACCACCTGACGTTGATTTATAAGTTGCACCATTCCCAATTTGATTTTGAACTGAATGCTCTAATATGATATCAGAGCTGCATCTTAGGTGGTCATGTCTCTTACTCATTTGAATTTCTTGGTTACAATTTGGAGTCTAAGATAAAAAATAAAAAATAAAAAGTTACAATTTGGAGTCGGGAAATTAAGTGATTTGCACAACGAACCCACCCTGTTTCGGGTCATACAACCCCGTGGGACGGTAGAGGTATCTACGATCTTGGTATCTATGTCCCAAACTAAATGATTAGGACCATCCAAGGTTGGTTCATGCTTAAGGGGTCTCCCCAGTCATTGCCAATTGGAATTGAATTGGAAGCTCTAACAGATTTTACCTTCTCATGTTCCAACATCAAAAGGTGTTTATATGTGCATCTAATCATTGAGCAAATACATCATGAGAGTGTAAAATTGGTTACCATAATAGTAGATTATATGGTATTATTTAATGTTTGGTAAATGATGTGGGACTCTGTCCCAGGTTTGCTGAATACACTGGAGACTCTAACAGAATATATAGATGAGTAGCAAAAAAGCATACATTTAGCTCTTTACAGTTAAAAGGAAAGGAAACAAACTCATTCCACTTGCAGAAAGAGGCCGATACAAATAAGAAAGGCTTAAAAAATTTTGTGCTCTGGCCAACTGCATGAACTTGTATTTATGGACCTAAACAGTTGCTTGGGCACCTTTTCAGAAATGTGTAACCTTTTCTGAATTTTTTATTTTTTCCCCTCTATTTAAAAGAAAGGAAAATACACGTAGCAACAAAAAAGGAGAACACAAACATGTTAGCAGGTCTTAGGCACGTTTTAAATGTGATTCTTTAAAAGTTTACTTGGAGCGTTTCACATGAAAAGGCACCAAAGCAACTTCTTTAAAAGCAGGAAGTTGCCATGTAACCATAAATTTGGAATTTTGACAGTCAAAAGCTCCCTTTTGTTGTTATTCTGAACCCAAAAGTTTTCAACTTGATGAATTTCTGTGTTTTCAAACCAAGATAGGTGTCAGCATAAATACCGGGAGGGAGGCAGGTCTGCAAACTTTCTAGCTAAGACAGGTCATTATCGTACAGAAAGATGGTCATACTTGAAGAAGCTGCAATGGAGATGCTCCAGTAACTACAAGAGGTTACCTGAGTGTAATGACTCCTAGATTCTGGGCCTTCGAGCCTCCATGTAACCAAAAACAAAAAGCCAAGATATATGAAACACAAAGTCAATTAGAGAAGGAGAAATTACAACTATCAATTCCATAAGCATCTGAAAGATGAGAGCCAGTTCAAGCTTATTTGGAACTGCATTAGACAAGAAATACTGCATCAGGCCAGGATAAAAAAAAGCAACAATTCACACAGCACTCTGTCTTTAATTACCAGTGCAACAACAAAGATATCCCAGATTGAAAAAAGTATACCTTTCTGAGGACCCACAGGTTGTTGATGGGGCCTGTTACTGTAATGATTGTTCAGGAAAGATCTGCTAACTGACATGCTAGAAAAAGCTGATTCAGATACAGCTGTCTGGCTGGGCTGGTCACTTTCAGAGATGGCATTAAAATATCGAAATGATTCTTTTGAGGTTCCATCCCGTCCCAAATTTGAATTCAAAGACGAGCTGGTTCGCGCAGATGAAAGATTTACAGGATTTTCAGAAGGCTGACGGCAAACACCAACAATGCCAACTTCAATCCCAACATTAGTAGCCGGTCGGGAATCAGGAGATGGTACATGAACTGGATCTGAAGAAGACGAATATAACCCGACCACTGAACTGCTTGATGAGGTTGTAGAATGTGGTCGAGAATCATTTGGCTTCACAGCTTGCATCAGCAAAGCAGTATTTGGAAACGAAAGCGGCCTCTTCTCAGCTATTTCTTTCCTATCAGTGCCACTTGAATTAACATCCCCGGCGTGCTTAGGGTGGAACTCAGCTGGCCCATTTAAAGATAGGGATGGAAAACGTCCAACGGGTGGCTTTTGATTGCCTGAAGTCCCCACCGAACGGCTGAAAAGGCCCATGGATCGATGTGTTTATAATACATGCACAACAGAGAATCCCTATCACAAAATAGCAATCTCATAGAAAAAGAGTCAATAACTTCATTTTCCCATATACAGGTGTCATACACTAGAACAGTGGCAAATATATATAATATGAGAGAATCCTAAGTGTTTATGCAAGCATTGCTTATCTTCATTTCTAGGCATGCATCTATGCAAGACAGTTGGCCCCCTCCCCCTCCCCCAACCCAAAAAACAACCAAAAAAAAAATCCATGCAAGACAGTTGATCATTTTGCAGAAAGAACTGCAACTAGTACAGTACAGCAATTGAATTCTGATTATCCCATTATATGCACAACTAAAAAGTTAAGTTATAGCTTGAAAGACCAAAAGGCTGAAAAAAACCAAACAGCATACTGGCATCATAATGAACCTCCTGGCCTAACTAGTAAAAATTCAAATGAGACAGATAACTAGGAATACAAAACAACAACAAATCTGCTGTCCACAGTTGCAATATTTCCTTTTCTACAAGCAAAATTCAGCTAGATAGTTGAGGAGGCAACCCCTAATAAAACTTCATAGGTCCACCAAAAAACAGCTAACCAAGCAATCTCTCTATGCAAATGGTGATAACCTCCCCATAGAGACTCAGCCAAATAAGTTCGGAAAGTTCGAATGATAAAGGCCTACATGTCGCAAATACACATTATGACTTATGAATACAAGCCTACTTCCATACCTAAAACGGTCTAGGTATTGATCTCAGTGCATAAAGTTTAAAGGGATAGTCCTACCACAGACCTAGGATCCAATCCCCCTCATAGATAGGGGTAGAGTAGAACTACACCCAAAGTGTAGCCCAGCTTTGCATTGTCCAACCAGACATATACACAAAAATAAGGAAAATAAGAAGTCATGGGAAAATTTCCAAACTGCTAATTCCTCCAAATCCAGTGTGTAGGCACGTAAGCCCATCTCCAATGTTGAGCTGATTCCAGGCTTTGTTTGTGGAATTTAAGAATTCTAGAGCATCTTCAGAATCTGAATTCCGAATTAGCAAGCAAAAAGGTTGCGACCAATTTTTTTTATTTGCTTTAGTATCACTTAATTAATGAGGGCATTTGCTCCCATGTGATTATGCAAATGCGTCAAAAAGGACATACCATATCATTTCCATGATATGTCTGCCACATAAAATGGCTCATTGTGTCACTGTCAAGCAATTTATAGATTGAAAAACAGCTATAGCCCACATGATTTAGCATTGATCACATAAAATCATCTTGAGCCCCTACGATCATATACTAAAATTACAGAATTAGTACTTCTTTATTGCCTTTTGTATGATATCCTCAATTAAATATTAGCACAGATATAGGTCTCAGTTGCTTCCATTATTACCTACATGTGTCATCAACAGAGATCAGCACATAGACACTACAAACTTGATCAGAAGTCTTTGCGACCAGGACAGTGGATGTCCCAATCACAACCCAACCACATGTTTCTGTGCACTTATGTGAATGTGCATGTTTATGCCGATGGAGAAGGCAAAACAACCCAGGAGGTTAGACCACCATCACATGATCCTGTCAACCCTCACCCTGGCGACCCCAGACCCCTAGCTCATTTTAAGCATTCTCCTCCCCCAAAGGCATGAGCAAGAACCCAACCACATATGTCGGTAACATCTGCAAGCTCTACGCCTTTTAAGATAATCTAGAACCAGAAACATGATGGCAAAGCATAACTAAACAAAGCAAGACATCTAAACACTCACGTAACTGTACCTTTTTTCAGAGGTGTTTGAGATCACTGGCTCATTTCTGGGAGTTGAACTCTGCACTGAAGGAGGCTTTACCTCTAGATTTGCATTTTGATTAAATCTGTTGTCTCTCACAATGCGAACCTCTCTATTGAATCTTTTATCTAGAAACATACCATCCATCTACAAGCAGTACACAATAGAAAGGCATAAGAGATGAAGTCAACTAAAAGCTGAGATCATGACGAAGCCTTCAAAACTGAAGTATAAACAACAAAGAGAGAATATGGAGCATTACTTATTTGTTTTCAACAAGTCTCAAACAAATTAAAAACCCAACAAAACATCTTCACTTGGTAGATCAAAGACATGCAACTATGCAAAGAGAGAAGCAAAAAAGGCACAATCCTCCATCACAAGTTAAAGAATAAAATATAAATCAGAAAAACAAGTCAAATGGCAGAATTCCCATCAAAGTACAACAAGAATCCCGTTTACATTCTCGTCTCTTAGAAAGAGCAGCTAAACGATAGGACCAGACAAGCGCAGGTAGCTTGACCACCTAACCTGTCATTGAAACACAAGCTTAAGATGTATTGGCCTATATAAAGTGAAGACTTAGAGAAAGGAAAAGTCACAACAGAAATAAGTGCCTCCTGCTGTCACCTATACAGGAAAGGNCTTGAATTAACATCCCCGGCGTGCTTAGGGTGGAACTCAGCTGGCCCATTTAAAGATAGGGATGGAAAACGTCCAACGGGTGGCTTTTGATTGCCTGAAGTCCCCACCGAACGGCTGAAAAGGCCCATGGATCGATGTGTTTATAATACATGCACAACAGAGAATCCCTATCACAAAATAGCAATCTCATAGAAAAAGAGTCAATAACTTCATTTTCCCATATACAGGTGTCATACACTAGAACAGTGGCAAATATATNATTGAATTAACATCCCCGGCGTGCTTAGGGTGTAACTCAGCTGGCCCATTTAAAGATAGGGATGGAAAACGTCCAACGGGTGGCTTTTGATTGCCTGAAGTCCCCGCCGAACAGCTGAAAAGGCCCATGGATCGATGTGTTTATAATACATGCACAACAGAGAATCCCTATAACAAAATAGCAATCTCATAGAAAAAGAGGCAATAACTTCATTTTCCCATATACAGGTGTCATACACTAGAACAGTGGCAAATATATATAATATGAGAGAATCCTAAGTGTTTATGCAAGCATTGCTTATCTTCATTTCTAGGCATGCATCTATGCAAGACAGTTGGCCCCCTCCCCCTCCCCCAACCCAAAAAACAACCAAAAAAAAAATCCATGCAAGACAGTTGATCATTTTGCAGAAAGAACTGCAACTAGTACAGTACAGCAATTGAATTCTGATTATCCCATTATATGCACAACTAAAAAGTTAAGTTATAGCTTGAAAGACCAAAAGGCTGAAAAAAACCAAACAGCATACTGGCATCATAATGAACCTCCTGGCCTAACTAGTAAAAATTCAAATGAGACAGATAACTAGGAATACAAAACAACAAATCTGCTGTCCACAGTTGCAATATTTCCTTTTCTACAAGCAAAATTCAGCTAGATAGTTGAGGAGGCAACCCCTAATAAAACTTCATAGGTCCACCAAAAAACAGCTAACCAAGCAATCTCTCTATGCAAATGGTGATAACCTCCCCATAGAGACTCAGCCAAATAAGTTCGGAAAGTTCGAATGATAAAGGCCTACATGGAGCAAATACACATTATGACTTATGAATACAAGCCTCCTTCCATACCTAAAACGGTCTAGGTATTGATCTCAGTGCATAAAGTTTAAAGGGATAGTCCTACCACAGACCTAGGATCCAATCCCCCTCATAGATAGGGGTAGAGTAGAACTACACCCAAAGTGTAGCCCAGCTTTGCATTGTCCAACCAGACATATACACAAAAATAAGGAAAATAAGAAGTCATGGGAAAATTTCCAAACTGCTAATTCCTCCAAATCCAGTGTGTAGGCACGTAAGCCCATCTCCAATGTTGAGCTGATTCCAGGCTTTGTTTGTGGAATTTAAGAATTCTAGAGCGTCTTCAGAATCTGAATTCCGAATTAGCAAGCAAAAAGGTTGCGACCAATTTTTTTTATTTGCTTTAGTATCACTTAATTAATGAGGGCATTTGCTCCCATGTGATTATGCAAATGCGTCAAAAAGGACATACCATATCATTTCCATGATATGTCTGCCACATAAAATGGCTCATTGTGTCACTGTCAAGCAATTTATAGATTGAAAAACAGCTATAGCCCACATGATTTAGCATTGATCACATAAAATCATCTTGAGCCCCTACGATCATATACTAAAATTACAGAATTAGTACTTCTTTATTGCCTTTTGTATGATATCCTCAATTAAATATTAGCACAGATATAGGTCTCAGTTGCTTCCATTATTACCTACATGTGTCATCAACAGAGATCAGCACATAGACACTACAAACTTGATCAGAAGTCTTTGCGACCAGGACAGTGGATGTCCCAATCACAACCCAACCACATGTTTCTGTGCACTTATGTGAATGTGCATGTTTATGCCGATGGAGAAGGCAAAACAACCCAGGAGGTTAGACCACCATCACATGATCCTGTCAACCCTCACCCTGGCGACCCCAGACCCCTAGCTCATTTTAAGCATTCTCCTCCCCCAAAGGCATGAGCAAGAACCCAACCACATATGTCGGTAACATCTGCAAGCTCTACGCCTTTTAAGATAATCTAGAACCAGAAACATGATGGCAAAGCATAACTAAACAAAGCAAGACATCTAAACACTCACGTAACTGTACCTTTTTTCAGAGGTGTTTGAGATCACTGGCTCATTTCTGGGAGTTGAACTCTGCACTGAAGGAGGCTTTACCTCTAGATTTGCATTTTGATTAAATCTGTTGTCTCTCACAATGCGAACCTCTCTATTGAATCTTTTATCTAGAAACATACCATCCATCTACAAGCAGTACACAATAGAAAGGCATAAGAGATGAAGTCAACTAAAAGCTGAGATCATGACGAAGCCTTCAAAACTGAAGTATAAACAACAAAGAGAGAATATGGAGCATTACTTATTTGTTTTCAACAAGTCTCAAACAAATTAAAAACCCAACAAAACATCTTCACTTGGTAGATCAAAGACATGCAACTATGCAAAGAGAGAAGCAAAAAAGGCACAATCCTCCATCACAAGTTAAAGAATAAAATATAAATCAGAAAAACAAGTCAAATGGCAGAATTCCCATCAAAGTACAACAAGAATCCCGTTTACATTCTCGTCTCTTAGAAAGAGCAGCTAAACGATAGGACCAGACAAGCGCAGGTAGCTTGACCACCTAACCTGTCATTGAAACACAAGCTTAAGATGTATTGGCCTATATAAAGTGAAGACTTAGAGAAAGGAAAAGTCACAACAGAAATAAGTGCCTCCTGCTGTCACCTATACAGGAAAGGGAATGTTTTATGGCACCTCTCTTCTAGAAATGCATAACATCTTAAAATGTTCTGTTATTTTATCTCCCCGAAAATCATATCGTGCCCCCAGCCAACTCAAGACTTTCAGCAGTGAATATGTATGAATAATGCCTCCTTTCAAGTAAAACTTCAGTAAACCTTAAATATAAAGAAGCAGCTTTTTTATTGCACAAAAGCAATATATAATTAAAATTTGGGCAACATGACCTCAAGAAGTTGAGCTAAATCAAATAACGGATACTCTACCAACCATATTTTAAATCTGCAAGACACTAGAACAGTCATTTCATATNTCGCAAATACACATTATGACTTATGAATACAAGCCTACTTCCATACCTAAAACGGTCTAGGTATTGATCTCAGTGCATAAAGTTTAAAGGGATAGTCCTACCACAGACCTAGGATCCAATCCCCCTCATAGATAGGGGTAGAGTAGAACTACACCCAAAGTGTAGCCCAGCTTTGCATTGTCCAACCAGACATATACACAAAAATAAGGAAAATAAGAAGTCATGGGAAAATTTCCAAACTGCTAATTCCTCCAAATCCAGTGTGTAGGCACGTAAGCCCATCTCCAATGTTGAGCTGATTCCAGGCTTTGTTTGTGGAATTTAAGAATTCTAGAGCGTCTTCAGAATCTGAATTCCGAATTAGCAAGCAAAAAGGTTGCGACCAATTTTTTTTANACAACAAAATATTGGTAATGCTTAAAACATAGAAAAATTATCAGGAGATGGATATGCAATGCTTTAAGCTCCACGGAAAGCTCTGAGGCAGTACTGACGCAAATCGTATACAATAGAAACATGAAATAATTAATAATTTTGAAAGAGTGTAAACGATTGGAATTGACATTATCNATAAGCCCATCTCCAATGTTGAGCTGATTCCAGGCTTTGTTTGTGGAATTTAAGAATTCTAGAGCATCTTCAGAATCTGAATTCCGAATTAGCAAGCAAAAAGGTTGCGACCAATTTTTTTTATTTGCTTTAGTATCACTTAATTAATGAGGGCATTTGCTCCCATGTGATTATGCAAATGCGTCAAAAAGGACATACCATATCATTTCCATGATATGTCTGCCACATAAAATGGCTCATTGTGTCACTGTCAAGCAATTTATAGATTGAAAAACAGCTATAGCCCACATGATTTAGCATTGATCACATAAAATCATCTTGAGCCCCTACGATCATATACTAAAATTACAGAATTAGTACTTCTTTATTGCCTTTTGTATGATATCCTCAATTAAATATTAGCACAGATATAGGTCTCAGTTGCTTCCATTATTACCTACATGTGTCATCAACAGAGATCAGCACATAGACACTACAAACTTGATCAGAAGTCTTTGCGACCAGGACAGTGGATGTCCCAATCACAACCCAACCACATGTTTCTGTGCACTTATGTGAATGTGCATGTTTATGCCGATGGAGAAGGCAAAACAACCCAGGAGGTTAGACCACCATCACATGATCCTGTCAACCCTCACCCTGGCGACCCCAGACCCCTAGCTCATTTTAAGCATTCTCCTCCCCCAAAGGCATGAGCAAGAACCCAACCACATATGTCGGTAACATCTGCAAGCTCTACGCCTTTTAAGATAATCTAGAACCAGAAACATGATGGCAAAGCATAACTAAACAAAGCAAGACATCTAAACACTCACGTAACTGTACCTTTTTTCAGAGGTGTTTGAGATCACTGGCTCATTTCTGGGAGTTGAACTCTGCACTGAAGGAGGCTTTACCTCTAGATTTGCATTTTGATTAAATCTGTTGTCTCTCACAATGCGAACCTCTCTATTGAATCTTTTATCTAGAAACATACCATCCATCTACAAGCAGTACACAATAGAAAGGCATAAGAGATGAAGTCAACTAAAAGCTGAGATCATGACGAAGCCTTCAAAACTGAAGTATAAACAACAAAGAGAGAATATGGAGCATTACTTATTTGTTTTCAACAAGTCTCAAACAAATTAAAAACCCAACAAAACATCTTCACTTGGTAGATCAAAGACATGCAACTATGCAAAGAGAGAAGCAAAAAAGGCACAATCCTCCATCACAAGTTAAAGAATAAAATATAAATCAGAAAAACAAGTCAAATGGCAGAATTCCCATCAAAGTACAACAAGAATCCCGTTTACATTCTCGTCTCTTAGAAAGAGCAGCTAAACGATAGGACCAGACAAGCGCAGGTAGCTTGACCACCTAACCTGTCATTGAAACACAAGCTTAAGATGTATTGGCCTATATAAAGTGAAGACTTAGAGAAAGGAAAAGTCACAACAGAAATAAGTGCCTCCTGCTGTCACCTATACAGGAAAGGGAATGTTTTATGGCACCTCTCTTCTAGAAATGCATAACATCTTAAAATGTTCTGTTATTTTATCTCCCCGAAAATCATATCGTGCCCCCAGCCAACTCAAGACTTTCAGCAGTGAATATGTATGAATAATGCCTCCTTTCAAGTAAAACTTCAGTAAACCTTAAATATAAAGAAGCAGCTTTTTTATTGCACAAAAGCAATATATAATTAAAATTTGGGCAACATGACCTCAAGAAGTTGAGCTAAATCAAATAACGGATACTCTACCAACCATATTTTAAATCTGCAAGACACTAGAACAGTCATTTCATATTTGCATCATCAGTATGTGGCCAAGTCATTATTGGTCGCCATAGTAACGAAAAAAAAACAACAAAATATTGGTAATGCTTAAAACATAGAAAAATTATCAGGAGATGGATATGCAATGCTTTAAGCTCCACGGAAAGCTCTGAGGCAGTACTGACGCAAATCGTATACAATAGAAACATGAAATAATTAATAATTTTGAAAGAGTGTAAACGATTGGAATTGACATTATCAAATAGAGGCATTGTGAAGCTCCTGCTTAGAACAATTCAATGAGTCCCATGAGAACAGGTTATTCTTTCTGACTTTAGCCTCCTATTTGAACATTACAATCAAACTATATGCTAGTTTCCACCTGACCTACATGCTCAGTATGTTTTCTTGGCTCTTCAGTATTAGAACCCTTGTACCCTGTACTCTGAAGGAAAATACAAGGATATTTTCAACCAAATGTTAGATAAAGGTAAATTTATCTAGGACAATCCAAAATGCAGTTACAAACTGTACATAGCAACAATGTTACAATTAAAAAAGTTTTTCATGGAGTCTCACCACTCCCACCCCACCCCAAAAAACAACGAACAAGGAAAAAAGTTCTTGAACAAGCGAAATTACTTGGATTTGGCTGTATGAGTTTCACTGACCATTTAGCTCTACCAAATACTAGCACGAATTTTTAAATAAAAAAAAAAAAAACAGCTCACACAAGCCGAATTCGAGCCTAAACTGAGATCAATTTCTCCGCAAAATTACCAAAATAAAACCTTAGAACTTAATAATCAATCCTAAAACAATTATTTTCTTCATACAAAATATCCCAGAAGCAATAGAATCGACCATAATATCAAACTCTAGACCTTCAAATTTCCAAAAAAACTATTAGAAAATAGAAGAGAGAGAAGTAAATATGGTCTAGAATTATTAGGAAAAAGTTTGGGTTATTCATCTTTTGGATAAAGTTTTTTAGCAACAATATTAGAATAGACTCGAGTTGAACCATACTTTGCGGGGACTCGAACTATTTACAAAACGCACTTAAAAAACTTATCAAACTAGGTTCATGAGCCCGAACACGTCAAAACCGAGTCAAGTCCAAATTAAGCTCCAGGCACTTGATTTGTTTAACCACCCCTCAATATTCTAAATCCGCATAAAACGTGATTGCAGTAACACGTAAGCAAAACTCTGAACTTAAGTTCTAGATATAACTTGGTTACTGAAGTAGTTAAGTTCCACTTCCAGTATCAAAAAATTAACAAAACCCTTCACTACCCGAACTGAACTTTCGACTCAATATCAGCACAAAGTAAGCAAAACCCAACCAACAACTATGATGGAAAGCAGAAACCAAAAAAAAAACAAGTAAAGTGGGACTAACAATCAAAGTGGCATAGTTAAAACAGACCTTGATTCAGCAACTTCTGAACAGTTTCGTCAGGATTCATGTTGGTCTCTTTGAGAGCCACATATATATATATATATATCAGCATCAGAGTGATTGCCTACAATTTCTTTGATTGATTGAATGGCTCTCCGTAACCCAGCAGACACAGTTTGTGTCCCACATTCGATTCGCGTTCCGGATACCATCTCCAACCAAACACGTAAACAAAGAGAGTAATGAATAATGGTCAATCGAACCCCTAGAGCGGTAATGAATAATGAAAAACAGCTCTGCATCGAAGCCAAGAGAGTGGAACGTGAGAGAGAGAAGCACTGTGTGTGTTGCGGAGCGAGGGGTTTAAAAACACTTTTGCCCCGTTTTTTATGATAATGGAAAAGTGGTTTTGAATATTCCTCAATGATTTGATTATGCTTTCTGTTGTTTTTGACAATTTGTGGAAAATTATATTTACATGTTACATAAACAAATCAAATTTAATGAAAAGCTTTAAATATAATTTCAATTCAAATTTTAACCATTTCCTACTTAAAAAATTCACACCCCCACCCATAGTCTTGGCCTTTTGGTAGGTAGGACTAGATAGCCTTGCATACCTGTGCTCATTCATTTTGAAAGGATTAGCACGGGGCTATCAAATAAGGCCCAGATTAGCTAACAACGTAGGCCCAACGTTAGTCTGGCCCTGTTCCCTATATATGCTGCTGTCTGTCTACACCACGTTGTGCTTGGCTACACTTCCCACTTGGGAACAAACATATTCACAAACAATTCAAAAAGTCAACTCTGGATAAATGAACTAACATTTTAGGATGTTACGCCAAACACAATTCACCGTCTTGCCACCTATCTTACCATTCGTACAACATAGAAAAAGTGGTCATTGTTGCTATAGATTACAATTCATATAGAAATCAACATTTTCTCATTACATTCAACTCTACAACCCCAACCCCAACCCCAACCCCAGGAAGTTCACATCATTCAACCGTTTCACTCACCACAAAAAATTAAAATTAAAAATAAAAAAAAAAGGAAGAAAGGAAAAATTAAAAAGAACAGAAATCACAAATTATGTGAAGCCTAATCAAGTAGCATATTTGAAAGCTTTGGTGATATTGTGCCCTGGCGGGTAGAACCTTTCAAGCACCTATTAAGAAAAAGGCTACACAAACTTCAAGTTCAAGGCCTCCACTCACAAGTACTGTTCTTGGATTCTAGCTCTGTTCTCTTCCCACCACAACCTTGCATGCATTTCTCCAAACTTTTCTCGGCTGTATCAAACATTTGTTTTCCAAGTCAACAAGATTCCAAAAATCCATAATTTTAATGAAGGGAAATATAAGCTCAGCTGTTTTAGAAATAAAAATAAACAAGGACCTCGTGTTTCACAGGACGACAAAGACNATAATTTTAATGAAGGGAAATATAAGCTCAGTAAGTACAGCTAGCTGTTTTAGAAATAAAAATAAACAAGGACCTCGTGTTTCACAGGACGACAAAGACTCGGGGACCAGGATTTCAAGTCAAACAAATGCCGCCAAAACTATGCCACATTTATTTTCTTATCATGTGCTTTCAAACTGACCCCTACTTAGTATTCCATCTTGCCACCACACTACGGAATTCTGTATTTATTTATTTAAAACTCCATTGATGCAAGATAATTTTATTTTGACCACTACACTAGTTTCAGCTCTATTGTAATTAGATCTTATTGAGAAAACACACACACCTGAACCGGACTCGTCTAAGCTCCCGAGTGCCACCTGGCAATGCTCTAATTGTGATGTACACTCCTGGCTCGTCCTGCTCAACCCATTCACTCTCCATATCACTGGCATTGCTGACTGAGAGTTCTCCTGAGTGATCAGCCTCTCTTGACAAACTACTCCTTACAGAAGCATCCACTGATGATGTTTCAGTCTTTGCCCCACTGATGCTGGAGAGTTTCGGGGTAGAAGTAAGACCGGTGTCATTGTAATGACGGGATTGCAATGGGTGGTGGTCAAGTGAATCCGATGAAGAGTAGCCCATCCCCATTGGACGGTGAATGTTGCGAGGTAAGCGCTCTTTGCTCAATGGTGGCGTCACAGGGCTATTCTCAGCAGATCCAACCTTTGAGTACTGAAGAGGAAGAAAACACTTTTCAATACTGATGTGTGTGCTACATCATACAAACAGCTCAAAATAACGAAATGATTTTGTTAAACATCAAGATCAATTTTAGATCAAATGACGGCAAAAAACCAATGTACCCTTCATGAGGTCATTATAATGCTTAGTTCACACGTACTGCAAATAGATTCGTTTTAAGAGAGAAATAATTAGAGCCCGTGTCAAATGCTGTGCAAAATTCCACAAGAATGACTTCATTCCTTAGAGTTAAGGTGCAACAACCTTTAATAATACAAATACATGGTATTTTCTCAAGCATGACTCGGAAGGATTATTCCATGAGAGATCAACAGTCAATTCAAATCATTACACATGCAAATTGAACCAAAAAAATGTTTTGTAAATTATGATAGGATTTGCAGGGGAAAGAAATAGGCGATCATTATCACCCTACATCGCCACGAAGGGGTGAAAGCTCACCTCGTCTTCAGATCGTGGTGGAGTTGACAACGGTACTGCTTGACGATTGAACCTCTGAACATTGTATAATTCCATTACCTTGTCGCAGTTATCTGCCCACCACCTTTGGGCTTGCCATTTGTTAAACATTTCACGACTGGTCAAATTGTGGAAGGAAAATAAAAATAATCAGCACTTTTGACCAGCCATTTGAAGCTGCCATTAGGAAATGATTTTGAATGAACAGTTCATCACTTAGAATATTAAATTGCAAAACATTCAATAACTTACAATGAGAGGAAAAATGGGCGTCATTCAAGAACAAGTATATCCAATAGATAATTACACCCACAACTAACAGGCCATCATGACCATCACAATGACTGAAATGTCAAAGTCCATGGCATTATCGGTATTGAGCTTCAAACAAATCAATTCTATCAATAGGATTGTTTTTACTGTTAGTTTCTACACATTGTTCCAATCAGAGGCGGCATTGATCTCACAGGAGGTAGGAGACAAGTTGGGGGCCGTTACCTCATGGATCATCATGCGTCTTAAGGTATACATTCAAAACAATAATATGCACAAGTGCATACACTGCATGCAATTACAGTCGTCAGTAATTACATATTACAGGCTTTAAACAATAATATGTACAAATGTCATACGCTGCATGCAATTACAGTCGTCAATAATCACATATTACAGGATTTACTCTGTAGCTGAATTCACACCACTAAATATCACCTATAAAATATACAACTTGACCAAGAATGAAACAAGGAAATTAATAGCAGTATGCTGAAGCAAAACTACACAACTTAGTGACAAACTAATGTGATTTTTTAGTGACAGACTAGAAGGTTTGGTGGTTTTTCTAAGAGCAGATTAATTTGATTAGACATCTCAATCTTCCCCTTTGCACGTAATCAAAACTGTCTCATTCTCAACCACATGACATGGTCGAGAGAGTAAGAAGAAGAAATGAAAAGAGACAACTATATTTGTAACAATTTCTTCTGTATAACAACCAAATTATATGCTTGCTACTAGGCCAGGGGCACATGAACAATCAAAAAGGACAATGGGGAAAACTGCAGAAAAATTGAACAACCTTTCCTTTTGAAGTTTCGGTTGTCTTTCTTTTTTAAATCCCTGTTTTTATCCTTAGTGGTGGGTAATTGGCATTAAATGCTTCTTTTTCAGCTAACAAACATCACCAAGCTGTTGAAGGACAATAATGCAAGTGTCATCTTTTTGACAGAAGAGTAAAAAAACACATGCATACCCCACCAACATAATAACATCAAAACAAGGCCAATAAGTATTGAACCAAGCTGTACTTTGGCCGGATGGTGCAAAGTACCCAAGGTACTCATTTCAGATTACCACATCCATTGTCAATTCAGAAACCAGAGGGACAAGTTCTGCAGTTTCAAAATCTTAGCAATGTCGTCCAACATTAGCAACTCCCAAAAAAAAAAGAAGAAGAAAGAAAGTTGAAATAATCAAAAGACATATAAACCAAAAAAATCCCACTGATGGTTATTCCAGCTGTATTTTATACTGTAAAAACAAAAGGCCAAAAGAAGTTCCAGCTGGGCTTGTTATTAGTTTAGGGTATTTATTGAGCTACCAATCAAATTAGGGAACCTACATAGTTGTCTTTTCTTCAGGGACCACCGCTAGTGCTCAACCTATATTTCTTTGTCATCATGGCCAGATTGGTAAACAATGCAACAAAATGAAAAAGCCCTAGTTACTTCAATGTGAAACAAAAAATTAATAAAACAATCACCAGAGAAAACCAGGAAAAAACATTAATACCAATCCTGTTATACACATTGCTTTTGGCCTTGGTAATCTGTGTAAAATTTATGGTCCAAAATCTTAAGGCAGGAGACAATGGTATAAAATTATGCACGAGAAAGTAGTAGCAGCGGTCTTAATACCATACAAGGGGAAAATCTCTCTAGTCACTATCATATGTACGTCTGAGGTTCCAGGACTCCGTGAATGATTAGCATCAAATCAACACCACATGTGCAACAGATAAGTTGTCCTCCTACAGTGCTTAAGGATGGCACTATGGTACACCTTAATTTGTTATGAGCTGTAGTACACTGCTGAAAAGTTATCGTACCTTAGAATGCTTAATATGCCGATCTGTGTCCTACAATTTTTGCTTAAGTTCCCAGACTGAGTAAAACCACATGTTCCCGGTGGAACTCACCAACATAGGATAAAGAGGAAGGGGACTGGCTTTGTGATGTCCCATTGCACCACATCAATTTTTTTTTTTTTTTGGTTCACAAAATTGAACCATTGACTTTAACTAAGGGTGTTCATCGAGCTGAATTTACACACAAACGAGCTTTAAAAAATGTTCAAGTTTGGCTTGTTTAATAGCCCTAACTTTAACTCACTGTAGTCCGTGCGTAGAGTCACCAATCCAGTAANCATCGAGCTGAATTTACACATAAACGAGCTTTAAAAAATGTTCAAGTTTGGCTTGTTTAATAGCCCTAACTTTAACTCACTGTAGTCCGTGCGTAGAGTCACCAATCCAGTAAATCAACGAGCAATCCCCATAATTCAGACAGTCCCACTAAGTAAGACAAGAAAGCGCTTAGATTGATTGTCAAGATAACTAAGCTTGTGGTGTGAAATACTTTACTATACAAAGGGTTGTATACCAGCCAACTCAAATTTCATTATTTATTCAGTCCTCTAGATTGGTTGGTTAAATCTCAGTCAAACCAACTGACCTCCAACTTATCAAGTCTCGAGAGATCTTTTCTTTTTTTTTTTCCAAAACACGATATAGAGCAATATTTTGAGATTTCATGGAGAAAGTGACAAAGATGGGCCGAGATGTATATACAAGACAGGCTTTCAATTAAGACCCAATGTGGGACCACTTCCATAATTTCGGGTGAAAAATGCAAACCAGAGTGAACTCACATGCAAATTCAGAACAACTTGCAATAAAAAAAAATAATGAGGAATTGAGCATTGATGTCATAACAAGAACTGTCACCTCTTCCTCAAAAACATGTAATCACTTCAAAGTTCAAACAAATCAAAACTTTAAGAATTGAATCAAAAACAGTACAAAATGGAAATACTATTACCTGAACCGAATCCGTTTCAGATCGTTTCCACCTTGAGGCAGTGAAACAAAGGTGATAAGAACACCAGGCTCCACCTGAGCAACCCATTCCTTGTGCTCATCTTCCTCCATAAACACTACTGACTCTGTTCGCCCACTCACCGATGCTGGTGTGCCTTCGCCACTGGAAATCCCCTTCAATCTGGCCTCCATTTCCTTTCCCCAAATTCTCGGGGTCGAATTCGAGCTACCGGGTCTTCTGTACGAGCAATAAAACCTCTCCGACACCGAACCCGCTTCCGAGTCGGCGTAGTTACGGTCATGGTTGTGATTTGACGATCTTGAGCAGGGTTTGCAATTCTTGTATACTCCCGAAGCTTTTATTGCCATATCCTTAATCTGAACATAGAGTTTATGCTTCAACGATTATACCGTGGAAGTGTCTTAGAAATTAATATTGAGAGAAGAAATTGAAATATTGGTGCGGGTATATTATACCTGAGAGGTGAGAGTCTTAATGGCATGCGTTGTGTTCGGTGTTGCAGCGGTATCATCGTCTTCTTGTTCGCGGAGAGATCCACCACCGAGCTGCTTCGAACACGCTATACAAGTCAACATATCCGATTCTCTGGTCTGATTTCTATAAGAAATTTCCTGAAAAACGACAACAATGACGAAAAACAGAATCATATTTTTAATTTCGAATTCTTAGTACCTAAGGTAGGAATCTGAGTCCGAATTAGAGCTCATTCACCAACAATGGAAACAAACCTCGAAGATCTGAACGTAAATCCACGAAACGAAAGCTGGAATCAACCACAAAGCAACTAAAAAGATTCCATTTGCTTCAGAGGCCTAATCACAACATCAACAAGTGATATGTATTAGAATTAAGAGATCGTACAAGACTGAATTGAGAATGGTTGAGGAGCATATGTGGCTTACGTCGTCCAATCAAAACAAGAATTCTTGAAATTAAGAGTCTGACGCGTCGCCGAAATACAACCGCGTTTGCTCAGTGTCTTCAATGCCACCATAAATTCAATCAGAAATAGAAAGAGAGGGACAGAGACAATACAATACACCCCGTTGCCACACACACACGCAGAGAGAGAGTAGTATGAAACAAGTTGGTTGAAGATCGTCTGAAATGAATCTGCGTGGTTGCGATTGTGTGTGTGAGAGAGTGGGGGACACGACAGCGGAGAGATTTGAATAACGAGAGTTAAGAAGAAGAAAAGTAGAGCAAGAAGTTGCAGGGTGGGGGCGGGGATGACCGAGGAGGCGTTAATGGCAGAAGTAAAGCACCAAGTAAGGCAGGGTTCCGGGAGATTTAGAAAGAGTTGGATCCAAGTGCTTACAGATCACGACTTTTTTGTGTACTCTGAGGCTGCCAGGACAAAAGAGTGAGAAACAAGCACTCTCTTCATTTAAACTGCTGCCATTAATATCACTATCACACGTATAAAGCACACTCTCTCTCTAATTGCTCGATTCGAGGTGCTGAGATTTGGTAGGATTTTCACTGCAAGCGGCTGTGTGCAAGTAGTGGAAATAGATATTAGAACTAATTTGTCCAACTTCTTAATCTTTTTTATTATTAAATTAATACAAAATATTATTTAGATTTAGTTTTAGTTTTAGTTTTATGAACCTAATTCAATACATTAATTGGTTTAAATATGGGCTTTATTCAATATTGGCACTCACAATTAAACTTTTCAATGACTCGGGTGCAGATCAGATTTTGGTCAATCCAAATCTAAATCTGATTCCAAAAGTTCAATCTAATAATCCTGTGGATTTTAAGTTTGTGATCCATATGGGAATTTTTTAACAATTCAAAAATTTGTTTCGATTCGAATAATTTAATTAAATTCATTTTAACAAATTATATCTAAATTTCAAACTTAATTTATTTAAATAATTACTTAATTTTTTTAATAATTATATAAAAATATATAAACAATTTGGATCGAATCATAATCGGATGAAGATATAGATATATCCAAGTCTGAATCCCTGAAAATATAAAATATTGAATTCGAATTCAGATTGTCGATAAAAAATATTAATTCATATTCGGCTAATCGAATTTAAATCATAATTCGATATATTGACAAGCCTATTCAAAATTAATCTAATAATTTTATTAAATTAGGTTCATCTCCAAATTAGGTACCTATAAACATTGCTCTAGATTAACAGAATATCTCATTATTAATTAGAGTCCGTCACTAATTCTGTGGCTAAGTTAGATAAGATTAACAAAAAATTCAATAAAAAAAAAGGTCAAAAAGAAGGCTGGCAATGCCGCTTTTTGAAACTGGCATGGTGAATTTGGAATCTTCCTTAATCAAAACAATGCTGCAACCTTTCTAAAAAATNGATCTCATTATTAATTAGAATCCGTCACTAATTCTGTGGCTAAGTTAGATAAGATTAACAAAAAATTCAATAAAAAAAAAAAGGTCAAAAAGAAGGCTGGCAATGCAGCTTTTTGAAACTGGCATGGTGAATTTGGAATCTTCCTTAATCAAAACAATGCTGCAACCTTTCTAAAAAATATTTTTCAATTTTGTATCTCAATTTTGAAATCAATGGATTTCATTAAATAAAAATAATATAATTTATTAATTCAATTTATAAAATATTTATTAAAACATTTTATTCCTCTCTCAAACAAGAACAACTCTGAATGTTAGGAAAGATTGGATTCAAACCTAAAAAACTTCAATTTTTGTCAAGGAAAATATGTCCTAATTCCTTGGAGGATTTGTTTCCTTAAAGGTTCTTCAAGGGCCCATAGTATTCAATTGGATCACAAGTCACAGGCAGTGAAAACACACACAATCTGAATTTCACAGGCAATTCATTCCGACAATAATGATAATAGCTAATAAGAGTCACCCCTACCATATGACNGCAATTTTTGTCAAGGAAAATATGTCCTAATTCCTTGGAGGATTTGTTTCCTTAAAGGTTCTTCAAGGGGCCCATAGTATTCAATTGGATCACAAGTCACAGGCAGTGAAAACACACACAATCTGAATTTCACAGGCAATTCATTCCGACAATAATGATAATAGCTAATAAGAGTCACCCCTACCATATGACAAAAGTAAAAACCACATTAAATTTTAGAAAGAAGTGGGAATATATATATATATATATATATATATATATATTGGTCCTAATGCAAATATAACTTTGGTCCATAAAGTGAGGATATTGTCTCTTTTTGCCCCAAATAAAGGTGAGGATGCTGCTTCTTATTTTCCTATCTTCGTTTAAGTTCATTGTGGTCGATCTGGGTATAGTGGTTAGGATTTAGGGTCGCTAAAGTTGGTTGTCACAATGATTTGTAGAGAATTATAATCATTGTAGTTATGGTGTTAGATATAGTTTTCGTGGCGGTGGTTTTGGTCTACAACATGCACAAAGATAATAAAAAAATTTGAAATATAAAGACAGGGAGTGGGTAAGCACTAACATCCAAATTCCAAAGGAGTGTAGGACAAATTTTTGGTATATGAAGGGATGTCATCGTGGTTCAGACATATTACAGGGGAGGTAAATGTAATTATTCTATTCTTTATAATATCAGCGAAAACGGCTAGTGCGGTGGCATGATGGGTTCCTCACATGAGGCATGAAACAAGAGCAAAGACCTCCACTGGGATGGACGCCAATTGATTACGCCCACATGGAGGAACCTGTATTGCCGGAATGTTATAATCTGGTAATGGACCCACACCATAACTTCCCTGTTCCCTCCATCCATCCCACCGAATCCCAATATAGAAAAGGTTGATTATTAGAAACTCAGATCATGCCGCTGCTTCCAGAAACTTCGGACTTGGATTACATGCGTTTGGGTGCCCAGATGGTTTCCAAGTTTCCAACAATGAGTCTCACTACAGTACTAAAATATTATTTATTATATATTATTAAATTATTATTTTTAAATCAATAGTTACATCATTCAATTCAAACCTAACGCTTGATTAAAAAAAAAACTTAATGACTAAAATTGATGGTACATATCATAAACACTCCTACAATGTCACGGTATGCCGGTAATATTTTTCTTTTTTTTAAGAATGATTAAATGTCATATTACAAAAACTTTNACTTAATGACTAAAATTGATGGCACATATCATAAACACTCCTACAATGTCACGCTACGCCGGTAATATTTTTCTTTTTTTTAAGAATGATTAAATGTCATATTACAAAAACTTTAGACTCTTCATTTATAATATAAAATATGATAGATTTTAATACGTTTATCTGACAGTTTCAAATAAATTCATCCAACGACCACTAACATCCTTCTTAAAATTATTCACATTATATTGTGTCTTCAAGGATAAATTACTCATAGTTATATCATAAACTGTGAATATAAATAACCATATGCTAAATTAACCTCTCAAGGGTATTGTTGTTCATATTGGTAAGAACAAACAATTAATAGTACTATTGTCTTTGAATGAATAGTTATGGTTTAAAAATCAGGTGAGATTGTATTGTTAATACAGAGGTGGGCCTTACTAGAGCGACACAATTGTTTCATTGTATATAAGGTTATAAATTCGACTTATTTGTATGCCTCGTGTCAACCGGTTGAAATGATCAAAATTTTATTTCAAAACGTTTTCGTTTTTGAGGAGATAAAATCAAAATTTCAACTATTCAATGTGTTTCAAAATATTTTGAGATGTTTAGATATATTTTCACAATTTTTTAANTAACGGTTGAAATGATCAAAATTTTATTTTAAAACGTTTCCGTTTTTGAGGAGATAAAATCAAAATTTCAATGATTCAATGTGTTTCAAAATATTTTGAGATGTTTAGATATATTTTCACAATTTTTTAAATATGTTTTAAGATATTTTTATACATCTTTTTATATATTGAGATAATTCACCAAAACAAAATTTCGATTTTACCGCCAGCATTGATTGGGCAGAACGGTGAAGTGTGAACAACTATGAAGAGAGATGGTATGGAACGAGTGAGGTCAATTAACATGGACTGCATGATAGTGGCGTGCATGAGCCTCCGCCTTAAAGTGGGCCCACACAAAGCACAATTTGCATGAACCAGAGAGAGCCCCACAAGTACCGAGATCTGTTCCGCAGCAAAAGGATCCCCTTGTCTTTTTAGCTTCGTTCTTCTCTGTACTTTAACTCGAAGAGTTAACCCCCCGCCCTTCTGATCCCAATAGTTTTGAAGGATGAAAAAAGTTCTTGGGAAAACCGAAAAGAAAAAGAATAAAGGCCAAAGGATGAATCATTGGCGGTGTCATTCTGTTGTGCAAAAGACGACGAAACGAACGAATCCAGTTCCTTTCTCTTTTCCAGTTTAGAAGAAAGGGACTGGAGATCGAATGCATACGAACGAACCAGAAAGCAGCTGAATCAGAAGCAACTAGAGGAATAATGAAGGTAAAAGAGCAGGTTGATTTGAATTGAATCATCAGATTAGGTCTTGGTAATGGAGATTAACAATTTCATCTGGATAGAAATTAATGGAACACCAATGCATGCGCGGTCTCTCTCTAGGATTTATAGAATCATGATTTATGTACATTGCTCCCACCTCGTGCTAGGTTAGGTGGGCCACCCTGCCTCTGACTCTTTTGTAAGTTATGATTCTATTGTGAATCATAATAGATAATTTTATTGTTGTTTTGGAAAGTCTAATTCTCGTAGTTAAATTTGTGACGTGTTATTTGTACTGATGACTTATATTTAATATTTATGGTTAGATAAATATTAAATTATTTTTCAAGATAATATATAAAAGTTAAGATTCGTTCAAATGAAATTAATGACTCAACAAATAATGATACGATAAAATTAATCTCTTATAACTTTTTTAATCTTTAAATTGATCACAATTGAGTTGTAATTGTTCTTTTGGAGTAAGACTTTCAAGAAAGAGAAACAGAAGAGGATCTTGTGGAGGGAGGGGGGAGGGGAAAAGCTTCGGCCTACCTATTTCGGAAGGACCCATAAAGGAACAGAAATTGTTGAGAGATTCCATATTGATGTTGGGTCAAAGGACATCACTTATGTACGTAATTGTAGTATATCACGTTGTCTTGTCCCCGATGCTTAAAAGAGTACCTATAGGCTATATTCTCGTTCACTAATAAGGAAGATAGAGTTGAGGTGAGGTGGGGCTGCCTATAAATTTCTTTATAGTAAGAAATAGTCACTAGCCAGCTAACACTACTCAAGAGATTCCCCATAAGCTAGTGAAGTAAAAGCTGCAATTATGGTTGTGTTTTTCTTTTTGGTGACAACTCCCACCTTTTTTTTTATATTAGTCAATGTGGTTACTCCAACTAATAAAGGCAATGTAAGGATGATAATGTGGGTATTCTTGTCTTTGTAGTCCAAAGACATAGCTTTGTTCCTTGATCTCTTACCCTTTGCACAAAATACGGAAAGAGTATGGAATGTGGGGGCATTTATCCAGATGGAAGATTCTTAAAGCAGGGTTATTTGGGTTATGCATGCAAACATTTTGTCTTTCTAAGTGAAGGCTTTATTGGGTAGCATAGCAATATGCTTTACTTGCTATGTGTGAGAGCATAAAGCAAATGGAAAAAGTTGCTTGCTTGCCTTGCTTACTTAGTTCTAATGGTTCAAGTCTCTTTTTGATTCTATGAAGCAAGCAGACACTCAACACATGAAAATTTCATTTTTTGGATGCAACCTACAGTAACAAACATAGATAAAAGCATAAACATGATGGCACGACTCGTCAATTTTTCAAAAATCCCAATTTTTTGTAGTTACTATTATGACCTAGGGTGCCATGGCCTCTGTAAATTTCAATCAATGTTGGAAGAATTCTTTGATTTTCAAGAATTTTGGCTCCCTAACTGTGTTCATTCAGATGCGTACGTACAAAGACATGATCCAAGTACTGTAATAAAATGATCATTTTGCAACTATATTGGTTGAAAAATTCTTAGGAATAGCCTTTTTCTTTATTAAGATGGAGGAAAACATCGACTTCGAAGGCAAGGTTTTTCTAGAGTTGCATGTGAGGTTTAATTCATTATATGTTCAAGGTACTTCATTATAAAAAATTGCAAAGTAAATTTCAAGTTTATTAATCTTTGCCCTTAGAGGCTCCAAGAATTCTGAAATAATGACAGAAATAATCTCAATATACTAGATTTTCATAGAACATTGTTTATTTTCTAGAATGAGANCTTGATTTGAATTGAATCATCAGATTAGGTCTTGGTAATGGAGATTAACAATTTCATCTGGATAGAAATTAATGGAACACCAATGCATGCGCGGTCTCTCTCTAGGATTTATAGAATCATGATTTATGTACATTGCTCCCACCTCGTGCTAGGTTAGGTGGGCCACCCTGCCTCTGACTCTTTTGTAAGTTATGATTCTATTGTGAATCATAATAGATAATTTTATTGTTGTTTTGGAAAGTCTAATTCTCGTAGTTAAATTTGTGACGTGTTATTTGTACTGATGACTTATATTTAATATTTATGGTTAGATAAATATTAAATTATTTTTCAAGATAATATATAAAAGTTAAGATTCGCTCAAATGAGATTAATGACTCAACAAATAATGATACGATAAAATTAATATCTTATAACTTTTTTAATCTTTAAATTGATCACAATTGAGTTGTAATTGTTCTTTTGGAGTAAGACTTTCAAGAAATAGAAACAGAAGAGGATCTTGTGGAGGGAGGGTGGAGGGGAAAGGCTTCGGCCTACCTATTTCGAAAGGACCCATAAAGGAACGGAAATTGTTGAGAGATTCCATATTGATGTTGGGTCAAAGGACATCACTTATGTACGTAATTNTTGTGGTATGACCATCACGGTGCGAACTGCACAATAATTTATTCACATTTTTGATAAGGCTCTGTACATCCGACATCAAATTTGATAAAAACCAATGAGCAATGGGGTGTACTTTTTTTTTATTCGGGCCGGTTGCTAAATGGCTTAGGAGTGGGCCGAGGCTAGAGTAACTCATTAGAAAGCATGGATTGACATTAAACTTATACATTTTTCTATGAAAAAAGAAAATTTAGCCATCGATATAAAAATTTAAACTTAATTTAATTAAACTATATTAAAAAAAATTATTTGATCCTAAATACATTTTTTTTTAAAATGACTAATAAACTATTTAGTACTCCATTACTCTCCTTCTTTCTCTCACTCTCTCTTTCCTATTTTATCCCTATCTCTCTCTTCCACATTTATAATTTATTTTTTTTCAAATATGTAAAAATTTAATTTGAAATTTTCATCTCTCTCTCACTCTCTTTCCTTTATTTTCTCTTACCGTTATTCTTATTCTCTCTCTCTCTCTCTCTCTCCTTATATCAATGTTACAATAATACAATTACACTAATTNGCTTTATTTTCTCTTACCGTTATTCTTATTCTCTCTCTCTCTCTCTCTCCTTATATCAATGTTACAATAATACAATTACACTAATTNGTTGATTTGAATTGAATCATCAGATTAGGTCTTGGTAATGGAGATTAACAATTTCATCTGGATAGAAATTAATTGAATACCAATGCATGCGCGGTCTCTCTCTAGGATTTATAGAATCATGATTTATGTACATTGNAGATCATTTTGCAACTATATTGGTTGAAAATTTCTTAGGAATAGCCTTTTTCTTTATTAAGATGGAGGAAAACATCGACTTCAAAGGCAAGGTTTTTCTAGAGTTGCATGTGAGGTTTAATTCATTATATGTTCAAGGTACTTCATTATAAAATATTGTAAAGTAAATTTCAAGTTTATTAATCTTTGCCCTTAGAGGCTCCAAGAATTCTGAAATAATGACAGAAATAATCTCAATATACTAGATTTTCATAGAACATTGTTTATTTTCTAGAATGAGAAAGAAAAAAAAAAACTTAGAGACTAGACAATTTCTCTTAAATTTGGGCCAATTGCTTATTTGTGGTATGACCATCACGGTGCGAACTGCACAATAATTTATTCACATTTTTGATAAGGCTCTGTACATCCGACATCAAATTTGATAAAAACCAATGAGCAATGGGGTGTACTTTTTTTTTATTCGGGCCGGTTGCTAAATGGCTTAGGAGTGGGCCGAGGCTAGAGTAACTCATTAGAAAGCATGGATTGACATTAAACTTATACATTTTTCTATGAAAAAAGAAAATTTAGCCATCGATATAAAAATTTAAACTTAATTTAATTAAACTATATTAAAAAAAATTATTTGATCCTAAATACATTTTTTTTTAAAATGACTAAAAAACTATTTAGTACTCCATTACTCTCCTTCTTTCTCTCACTCTCTCTTTCCTATTTTATCCCTATCTCTCTCTTCCACATTTATAATTTATTTTTTTTCAAATATGTAAAAATTTAATTTGAAATTTTCATCTCTCTCTCACTCTCTTTCCTTTATTTTCTCTTACCGTTATTCTTATTCTCTCTCTCTCTCTCTCTCCTTATATCAATGTTACAATAATACAATTACACTAATTAATTGTAATTACCCTATAATATATCAAGTAACTACTCATGTATTCTAATAAACCAAACAATTACACAAAATTACAACACTAACTCAATTTGTCATTCAATTGACATAAACCAAAAAGTTATATCATTTAGTATCACGACATAATTACTCAAATTATATACACCAAATTGGGTTTATCATTACACAAAAGAGTTTACAATTATATAATTGGTATGATTATGTCGTGATACTAAATGATATAATTATTTGGTTTATGTAAATAACTGAATAACAAATTGAGTTAGTGCCGTAATTTTGTGTAATTATTTGATTTATCAAAACACATGAGTAATTATTTGATATATTATAGGGTAATTATAACTGATTGGTGTAACGTTGATATAAAAAGAGAAAGAGTAACAGTGAGAGAAAATAGGGGGTAGAAAGAGTGAGAGAAAGAAAGAAAATAGGAGAGAGATGAAAAAATCAAATTAAATATTTACATATTCGAAAAGAAAATAAATTATCAATGGGAGGGAGAAAAAAATATAAGGGAGAGATAGAGAAAATAATAGAGAGAGAGAGAGATAGGGAAAAAATAGGGAAGAGAGAGTGACAGTAATGGAGAGAGGAAAACAGATAGAGTGTGAAAGAATAATAATTATGCACAATTTAAGAAATGGTAAGTAAGTAAAAAATTTGAAATGTCATTTAAATTTTGAACTTAATCACAAGATTTTTTATTAAAATTAAACTTAATGAAGTAAAATATTTATTCATACACTTTCTCTCAAATAAATCTAAAAAAATATACCCACACTAAAAAAAAAATCTACGAAAAATTGGGCCAAAATTGATTTAAACTTGGGTCGAGTATTGTTTTGCGTTTGGTCCATAAAACCCACCAATGTTGTGAATCTAATCTGGGCCGAAGTTATTGGGCTAAACTGAACCTCTTAGTTGCCCATATCTTAGTGGGTCCAAAAAACTTGTCAAGCCGAAGCCAAGCGTCCAGACTCCTTTGACCTTTCAGACTCTCCGTTTTTGAGATAAGACAGTACACCAACCCTTAAAATCCCGCCACGTCACAGATCTCGTACTGGGTCCCACCAAGGGGAGCTCTGTTCTGTACCACTCAATCCAATTCCCTCAGAAACCTCCAAACCCCAACCAGCCACCGCCCCTCCACCACTCTCCGCTCTGCTTCTGCAACTGTCCCCGCCGTCTATGGTTCCACGAAAATCCTAGAAATCGCGTGGACTCGTACATGTATATGTGTATAGATCTATATGAATGTATTTGTTATGTGTATGTTATGAATGAGTGATTGTAGCTAGCTAGTTTGAGAAAAAGATGCCACTGATTCGAAGAAGAAAAAGATCGGAGAATGAAAAACCTTCGACTTCAGATTCGAATTCACAAGAAGAAGACGATAAGAAGAAGACTGTGACAGAGGAGAAATCCCGAGATAAAAGCAAAAAAGACAAGAAGTGGTCATGTATCGATAGTTGTTATTGGTTTATTGGATGCATATGTACGGTGTGGTGGATTTTGCTGTTTCTTTACAATGCGATGCCGGCGTCGTTTCCGCAGTACGTTACGGAGGCGATAACGGGGCCGTTGCCGGATCCACCGGGAATTAAATTGGCAAAAGAGGGCTTGAAGGCGAAGCACCCGGTGGTGTTTATGCCGGGGATTGTGACATGTGGGCTTGAGCTTTGGGAGGGACATCACTGTGCAGAGGGCTTGTTCAGGAAGCGGCTTTGGGGTGGCACGTTTGGGGAAGTGTACAAGAGGTATTTGATTTTGTTTTTTATTAGTTGTTCTGATCACACAAGCATAACTGTGTGGTTTTAGTTTTTTCAATCAGTTCACTGGAGTTAATTGTCATCCTTGTTTTTTTTTTTTTTGGTAAATAAACTGAATTTTATTGATAGTAACTGAAGCTCTATTAAACAAGAGAGGGTAAATTACCAAGTGAAAGCTATTGCTCTGTTTTCTCGCGAGCTCTTGAACTTAAGGGATAATAATCTGCATCTAATAGTGTCTCAGATCAAATGCTTTAATTATGTTACATCCATATGTATATTGCAGTAGACTCTTGCATGCCTTTTCCTCCACAAGTAATACACTGCAAGCTCTTGGCAAAGCTTTCTAATCAAAATGAAACTGGGCTTGCCCTTCCCTTGAGAGGCTTGTTAGATACAATCTTGCCAAGGTAAGGGGTGCCATTTAATTCCACACTTGGGTATAATACCTGACCATACAGTTATGTTTTTTGAGATTAACTTCTAGAACTTTGGAGAGATGATGCGTTTGTGTTTAGTAATTTGATGTGAACTGTTGCAAAAGGTAATAAGTCATGAACTAAGAGCTAAATTTGTTTATTTTTAGAAGGTTTGTCGCCATTTTTTGAGGTTAAGTGGATGGAGGTGATGGGTGGTAGCTTTGATGACGCCGTACTTTGTAATTTTGACAGAACTGTGTGCCAAACGCAGTAAATTGATGAATTTAAGAGCTAAATGAACTTATTTCTAGGAGAGTTGTGGCTGTTTGTGAAGTTAAGTTGAACAAGATCATGGCTTTTCTGGTGTTAGCTTTGAAGATGCCAAGTAGGATGCTCGTATCCTCCAATGTAATCTAGTACCCTCTACTTCTGTTTTTTTAATAAAGTTGTTAGTTATCAAAATAATGTTAAGTTTCGACTTTAGAGATGGCTTGTTGTTGGCCATAATGACAGGTGGAAGTAAGTGGGCCAACAAATAAGCATTTATGTAACATTCGAGATGAAAGCACACAAATAATAGCTATCCCTGCATGATTTTTAACATTTTTGAGTGACAACTTCCAAGCAGAGTTGAGGGTTAGGTTCAAGGTGCTCCATATTATGTGGATATAAACATCAATGCAATTGTGACTTCCAAAAAAAACATCAGCTTTATTGTCTACTTGTGAGGTTGTGGCTATTGCTGATTCACACCAAATATCCTTGCCAGTTCAGATCATAATAATTTTTTTAAATGTTTTTCTTTACTTTCCTGAAGTTTCATTTGTCTTCCTTTTCTACTGGGGGAGGTGGGGGGGAAGGGGTTGCAGAGCTAGTTCTAAAACTCAAGCATAGGAAATGGTTTTAGAGCCTTTGGATACTAAGCCAGCATTTTTGGCTTGTATTTTGCAGGCCTTTATGCTGGGTGGAGCACATGTCACTTGACAATGAAACTGGGCTGGATCCTCCTGGTATAAGGGTCAGGCCTGTCAGTGGACTTGTGGCTGCTGACTACTTTGCTGCAGGATATTTTGTCTGGGCAGTTTTGATTGCTAACTTGGCTCGAATTGGCTACGAGGAGAAAACAATGTATATGGCTTCATATGATTGGAGACTTTCATTTCAGAATACTGAGGTTATCTTTTGAGTTACTGTTAGGTGTCATAATGTGCAAGTGTAGCTTTATTGATGTTTCCTTTTGCTCACCTTCTAATACTTGAGCACTTGCATTGTTTACCATATTAATGCTAAATCCAATTGATCAGGTGCGGGACCAAACATTAAGCCGGCTAAAAAGTAATATAGAATTGATGGTTGCTACAAATGGTGGCAAAAAGGTGGTGGTTATTCCACATTCAATGGGTGTTTTGTACTTTTTGCATTTTATGAAGTGGGTGGAGACACCAACACCCATGGGTGGTGGAGGTGGATCAGATTGGTGTGCTAAGCATATAAAGGCAGTGATGAACATTGGTGGTCCGTTCTTAGGTGTTCCGAAAGCTGTTTCAGGGCTTTTCTCTGCTGAAGCACGGGATATTGCAGTTGCCAGGTTAGATTCGACTTCACAACCTCTTTCCAGCAAAAGTAAAGATAAATTGATAAAACACTCCTTCTCTTTGGTATTTAGTTCCTGAGCACTTTGCATCCCTCACAAAAGATGGAAAAACTAGGCACTTATCTTTTGTACTGGGTTTGCTAGAGCAGAAATTGTTCATATTGGGAGAAAAATATTTTGATTTGATTCTTGAATTCTGTTGTTTTTGTAATCTAAGCAGTAACTCACTGCAGTTGAGATACTGAAAAGCATTGCACTCCATTTTTTATCAACTTTGAAACATAGTTTGGACCCTATTAGGTTGGCCAGATGTGTAGTTTAATTTTCTGAACATCAATACTGTGTTTTCAGAGGCTCCCATATTTTTGAAGAGTGACTTATATGCCTTTCCTGTAGTGAAAAAAAAGCAACAGCTGTAAGATGCTAATTTACCAGACATGTGAGCTGTAATTTACTTGCCTGCATTAACTGTCAGGATGTCTAATAACAAGACTGATGCCACCAAAGAATAAATTGCCAAAGGATACTTTGAAATATGATTTTGGAATCTGTAGAGAGATGGGATAAATATCTAGGTGTGTCAGTTATAACTTTGATGAAGAAGGTATAAACCTAGTGTCATGCTTCGGCCACTTTTGTTGAGCACAGCACTCATAAATCTTCAAACAGAAGCAATTTTGACTCATAATTACCAAAATTCATTAAGCATATGACAGCCATGATCTAGGTTTATCAATTCCAAACGGAGTGGGCTCGCGATTCAGATTACCAAAATGTATGACCCCAAATTGTAATATTAATCTTAAATCGATTCGTTTTGGAACATATAACACAAATATAAAATACTTATTAATTGAATTTGTGTATGTAGATTTATGTGTTTTAAATAATAGAAAATCAAACACAAATGTGAGATAAATTATAACTGACTTTGTATTTATGGATGTTCTATAATATATAATGTTGTATAGTAGAGAAAACAATTTAGATAAGAGTTTAAAAATGAACTACGACCCAAAATACCGTACCAACTAAGCCTACCTTTATTGTACCGCATACCTTAGAAAGTGTTTTATTGCGTACTATTACCACATACCAAAGTAACCCACGATCTAGGTAATATTATTTTGACTTTTGTCAGAGATATGATCAATATTGAAAAGAAATCTGATTTAAAAATGATATAGTTTACGACTCATGAGGTCCTGATGCAGCCAGTGATGGTGAAATGAGAAAATAACTGTGAGAAATCACCTCCCTCTCCTCTCTCTCTCTCTCTCTCTCTCTCTAGATGTGTACATGTATACCTGTCTTGCATGTGATGAGTTCTTCAGAATGTAACCTTAATGCAGGGCTATTGCACCTGGTGTTCTGGATAAGGATGTATTTCACATTCAGACACTGCAGCACATAATGAAGATGAGCCGCACATGGGATTCAACCATGTCGATGATTCCAAAAGGTGGGGACACAATTTGGGGTGGTCTTGACTGGTCGCCTGAGGAAGGTTTTGTTCCTGGCAATAAAAAGCAGAGAAACAATGATTCTCAGGTTTCAGCCCAAAATGAGGCTGGAAATCTAGTTTCTGAAAGAAAACATGTTAATTATGGTCGGATTATATCCTTTGGAAAAGATTTGGCGGAGGCACGGTCATCAGAGATTGAGAGGATTGACTTTAGGGTAAGGTTTTTGGTTTTGTACGTGCCTGCATTATTTAATAGAAACCAGTCGTCCCTTGTAACTTATTTTGCAAATTTTTTTTATACATTACTTTCTCTTTCCTGAATGTGGCTTAGGTAATCAAAAAGTAGAGATGGAAGAATTCTATCATACTGCGACTAGGAACCTCATTAGTAAATGCATTTAGTTTGAACAACTGGAATAGGAGATAAGATTTGAAGCTTAATGGTAAATCCAAAAAGGAAGATAGAATTAGAGACTGAAGATAAAGGGTAAAAGGGTTTGAGGAAGAGGTGGGCACATACTTTTGTGGGCTATTGGGCATTTTATCTGGATTTGCGGATTGGAAATCCCTGTAAGTAATTGTTAGCATGCCCATTGCCCATTGAAAAGATAAAATGGGTATCTTTACTGTTGGTCTTGTCATTCCAAGGTGCTGGGGAGAGTTGAACTGAATCCAACGTGACCTCTGGTTTAATGGTTCTATTCACATGAAGTGGCTTCTCTCAGAATCTTAACCTTCATTCTCATGTTTACAACCCAATCTTTACTGTACAGAAGGCAACAATCTTTTATTCATAGGTCAATGTTGACATCACAATATTTTGATTATATAGGTGCTGATCTCACAAGTAATAAAGGACAAGGAATTGGGCAACGATAATACTAGAGATGGTAAGGGAAGATGTGTTGTCCTGTGATCTAACGATGGATATGGCCCTGATAGATCAGAATGCCGGAAAACAATGTGTAGGTGAACTTAACTGGTTGGAGGTTGATGCTCTATTGAGCTAATGAACGAAGATTAAGCAACAGCCTGCTGCCTAGCAAAAAGGGGGGAGTTGATGAGTGATAGAGTAGCTGATTTAGAAAGATGATTAGCTGGTAGTGTTGTTTGGTTTTGTGTTCTGACCTGGTTTTTTGTTTTCCCCTGTAAAAGATTTTGAGTAGCTCATGTGGGGATTGTATAGAATTTGGCATGCAGATTTTTCGCAGAAGAAAGAGATATAAAAGTTGTCAATGCAACACAGAGAATGAAGAAGGCTGAGAAGGGAGAAAAACTTACCCTGCTATTGTTAGATTCAATGTAAATGTGAATGCCCCTTGTTTCATAGGAATGATGATTGGATGTTACATTTCATTTCATCTCTTAAGGATCATAGCTGCTTCTCTCTTAACAATAGGCTATTAAAAAGTACATTCAGTCCCCTCTCTGTTTGCATGGCTGTATGATTTCAAAGTATAATATGCTTATTGGGTGAGGATGAGGGGTAATTGTAAATCTTGTCAGGTGATGAAATTTACCTCTAAAAGCTATTAATTTTGACTTATGATCGTCAGATGCAAGTAATTCCCCAGCTCAATATAGCATAGTGCAATACACCAATTTTTCGTTATAGCTCTATATGATTTGACTCATTTGAGTCTCTAAATGGAACAAATGAATTACATGCAGGACTACGGTATAAATTTTTTAGGAACGCGTCACCACTCGAGCACTTTTTGGTTGGAATTATGTTGCCTTGACATATTTTTTTCTGCCTACGAATCGAGTAGTTCAGAAGTGTAAGTGAGACACTGTTTTCAGTGGAGAGTAACAGAGTAGGAACCCCATTAAAAAGAGAAGCAATTTAAAAGAAATTGTTTCTCATCAAGTATCTATGACTTCTTTATAGAATATATGCAGAAGGTGGTAGTGGTGGCAGTGCCAACTGGGGCCATGGAGTTTTGTTGCTATTGGTCATAATGGTCGTTGCCAAGAGTTGTCCACAAATAGTTATGCTAGCTATGGTACCTATCACAGAGTGGTGATGCATGGCTGTGACAGAGGAGAGAGGGGGACAGGGAGAAGTTGGAAGGGGAGTTGTGGAGGTAGGGATTAAGGAGGCAGGCCATTTTTACCCTTTCAATAAGGAACCAGGGAGCCCTACAAATAAGAAGCAGAGCTTCTATTTGTTGTTTGCTTGTTAAGCACGCACTGAGGGTGGGATTTCCTCGTCCATTTAATCTCATATTTTTCTTTTATATTGCAATATTCTTTGAGCGTTTGTGTGTGCACATAAAGTCTTTCCCCAACTCTTTTTCATGCTCACAAAACGAATCTTGACCTACCTGAATTTTGTCGATTTGTATTCTCCCAACACAATATGTTTAACATAAATGTTGCATGTAAGTGTAATGTTTTCAGGTCTTTAAGTTGGTTCTTTGCATTTGCATACTCAGTTTCTGATAATTTGCAGGATGCTGTAAAGGGTAATAATGTTGCAAATACTTCTTGTCGCAATGTGTGGACAGAGTACCATGACATGGGATTTGGGGGTATTAAAGCTGTGGCAGAATACAAAGTTTACACAGCTGGAGAAATTTTGGATTTGCTTGAATTTGTTGCTCCGAAAATGATGGCACGTGGCAGTAATCATTTTTCGTATGGGATAGCTGAGAATTTGGATGACCCGAAGTACAAACATTACAAATATTGGTCAAATCCATTGGAAACAAAGTGAGAACTTTTATACTTTGTTTTTTTAGCCCTCATTGGTTTGGTTTTAAGTCCTTTTCATTTTCCATTCTAGGATGTTGCTCACGATGAATAGCTAAGCTAGTTATTGCAAGAACCCCTTGTTTTTACTTGATACACGTATGAGATGATCGTTACCAGTTTTTCAGCTATTTATCTGAATTCTGAATAAAACTTGGTTGATTGCCAAACTAGGTGGGAATCAAAATAGATCAAAAAAATTTACTCGAGGTAAATCAAAATTACGATTACGATTATACTTGTAAGACTAGAAGATTGATCTGCTATTGTGAAATATAATTTGTAAAGAAGGAAGTAGCTTCTTTTTTTTTTTTTTTTAATTTATCTTTTTTCTTATTGGGATTCTGTTTTGCTGGAAATAATCCTCGGGTATACCATTCTCCTTGGCGCACAAAATTATGGATCCTTACTGGTAAGATGAAAATAGCCCTGTCCACTAGTGATCATGGTTTTATATTCTTGTAAATTCCTTCACTTTTCTGTTTGTTGGATATATATTTTCTTGATATTATGCTCCATGAGCACTATGTAGCTCCCTGGTGCTTCACTTGGCTTTTACTTTGAAGCCTCCTGTGTCTGAGTTTTTAATTTTTCATTCTGTTCAGGTAATGTGACTGTGAGTGTATGCGGATTTTTAATGGTTGGTCAAATGCAGGTTACCAAATGCTCCTGACATGGAGGTATATTCAATGTATGGAGTTGGCATCCCAACCGAAAGAGCATATGTTTACAGGCTGACTCCCTCTGCGGAGTGCCACATTCCATTTCAGATAGATACCTCAGCAGATGAAGGAGAAGACGATAGCTGTTTGAAAGATGGAGTTTTTCATGTTGATGGGGATGAGACTGTTCCTGTTTTAAGTGCAGGCTTCATGTGTGCGAAAGGATGGCGTGGGAAAACCAGATTCAATCCTTCAGGGATTCGTACTTACAATAGGGAGTATGAGCATGCTCCTCCAGCTAATTTTCTCGAAGGTCGTGGGAGCCTGAGTGGTGCTCATGTTGACATAATGGGTAATTTTGCTTTGCTCGAGGATATAATACGAGTTGCAGCTGGGGCCACTGGTGAAGAGTTAGGAGGTGATCAAGTTTACTCAGATATCTTCAAGTGGTCTGAGAAGATAAACTTACCTCTGTAAATTCAAAGGGTGAATGCTCGATCTCTTCTGAAATTTGAACACATATTTTAACAGAACGTCTGTTCTGGTGACCTTACATTTCATCTGTGCTAGTAACCTTACATTTCAGGTTACGCACTGCCAACTTGGGTGCCCATAGGAATCTATATCTGTAATGTAATATTCAATGCACACTTCAGGCTAGCTACGACAAGCTCTCTCTACTGTGAACATCTACATTGTTCATCATTGTTGCTGCAAAATCTTATCCTCCATGTCCATGTTGTCCAGACTTAGCTCCAACTGTGTCAAATATGGTGGGGAACCTTGTAAATTTGGTGGCGTGGATGGCAGAGATATTCGCTTGCCAGTATGGCGTTCCGATGTACCTAGTTGCAGCCTATTATGGTTTCTTTTTTGTATACAGATTCCTATGACATTTATGATTCTGTCCATGTTTCTTGTTCATGTATTGTAATTACGAGGGACTAGAGAGGCTCTCGGTTTCAGACCAGCAACTCCATGCTTAGAGTAAAACCACCTCTCGTTCATGTATTATNTCTTTCAGCATACTTCACCAGATTCTCAGGTCAGGGGAGACTTGTCGCCACACCTACAAAGCATTTATGTAATGTGGGGAACATAAATTCATGTCTTGGCAAGTAGCTTGGAACAAAAATAGGGAAAAGAAAATATGTACTCACCAAGTTCATATGCTTTAGCCGCTACCTTAGTAGCAATGTGAGCAGAGATCTTTCTGATATTAGTGAATGGAGGGTAAATCATGCCCTTAGCTAAATGCTCCTCCATTACTTGACCAGCCAAAGCTTCNGTATTGTAATTACGAGGGACTAGAGAGGCTCTCGGTTTCAGACCAGCAACTCCATGCTTAGAGTAAAACCACCTCTCGTTCATGTATTATAATTGTTTCGTGTATGGTGGCAACTCAGTCTCAAATCGGTTGCCGAAGTGTATGTAAGATGGTTTTTTTTTAAATGGTGAATGTTGAACTTTTGTTGCAATCACGTTTAAAGCCTTGTAAGTTTAGTTTAATNGTAATTGTTTCGTGTATGGTGGCAACTCAGTCTCAAATCGGTTGCCGAAGTGTATGTAAGATGGTTTTTTTTTTTAAGGGTGAATGTTGAACTTTTGTTGCAATCACGTTTAAAGCCTTGTAAGTTTAGTTTAATNTGTTGTTTCAATGGAGACATCTGGAAAATTAATATCGAGAGAATTCTGTTGCTTGCTTTACTGCAATGACAACCTAACATTGTGTTGCCTTTAAAGTCACTGTAGTCTGAAAGGCATATCGTAACGTTTCNATGTAGATAATATTATACAATGCAACGTTAAGAGGATTACAATTGGTGTTAGATGCATTGATCCTCAGGTGTGAAAAATAACAGTCTGTGTACCTTGTTTCGAAAGGGTGGTGACAGCTAGCGTGGTGAGAGTTTTGGATTTTCGTCATTACCTTTTTAAAATTGTGCGAGTTTATTTTAAAATGAATAATCCTGTATGATACAAATTTTAGACATTATAATTGAAAGTGAAATCAATTTTAGCAACTAGAATTTATATCTTTTTTTATTCAATGGTCAGAGGTGTCTAATTCAGTTTATGTATATCTTGATTAATTTTTTCATTGGTCTGATTAAATATAGATTATTTATGTCGGAACGAGAGTATTCAAGAGAGATAAATTTTTTATAATCTAACTCAAAAAAATTGTCAAGATTCAAATTTAAAGCGCTTGCGCGACTGTGCTTTCCCGACCCCCCCGCTAAACCACAAAAAATAAATGGAAAATCTTCACGTCACTTTGACACAAACTTATTTTTACACAAGTTTTATAAAATATTAGGAATAACTCGTACCTGAAGACACGATGCAAAGTAAATAAACTGGTTAATTTTGAGAAGTGAGGAGTAAATATCTCAGAAAGAGAGAGAGTGAAGAGAGGAAGATAAAATTCAATTTTATAAAATACCAGAGATAATCCGTGCTTAAAGGTACGGGGCAACATAAATCAATTGATTAATTTAAATAAGTGAGGAGTGAAGATTTTAGAGAAAGAGCGTGACGAGTAAGGAGAAGATGGTAAAATTCAATATAAATGATTTTAAGAGAAATATTGGTGGTCGTTAAATGAGTTTATTTGAGACTATCAAATAAGTTTATTAAAATCTGCATTATTTTATATTATAGATTTTCATTGTATTAAAATGTTTATGGGCGTTTAGTAATCACGCGCCTTGACTGAAAGTGGCATAAAAAACAACGAGAAGGTCACATAGTAAACTTAACCATGGTTACTTGTCCCTGGTTAAGTTAAGATCTTTAGATTATAGTGTTGGACTTCGGGTCTGGGCTTGGGTCTGACCTCAGAGCATTCGGTCTCTCCTGGTCTGATTTGGTGTTTGCGTGGCGGAACCCCCCTTTCTTTGAGACTTCACCACCACCGATCTTTTTTCACGGCGTGGCGTCTCTGATCAACCCCTCTCCTGTTTTCTTATCGATCGGACTCTCCCTGTCTCTCCCTCTCCCTCCCTCTCTAGCTATCTCTATCTATATCTTGCTGGTAAGCACATACCCTCTTTTCAGATATAACATTAGATCGTAGGGTTTTCAATTAAGCAAAAAAGAGGACTTCTTTGCTATATGTGTGTAGATGTTTGGAAGTTTTTTTGTTGAACAATTTCATGCCCTAGAGCCTGTAGAGAAGATTTCCACGATGTTTGTTAGGTTATAGCTCTGTAATTTTGGGATCGGTATGAATGATAACTACCAGGATTTGAAAACACGGTTGCTAAGTGCCCTTGAAGTTGTAGCAACAGCTTCTTCTCGGCAAATTTCTTAATTGGGCACGAATTTTGGCGCCTTTGGCATGATAAAGTTACAAACACTATTTAATATGACACTGTTTCGGCACCCACAGGAGCATCATTCTTCATTATTTTTCACATTTTATGATAGATTACACAATTCTGATGTAAACTCCACGTTTAGTTTCAAGCTTAGATAATTTGTTATAAGGTTCTTTGAAATTAGAGAAAGATAATCCTTACGGATATTGGATATAATATAAGGTTTGTGCTTAAAGGACCAAAATCATGGAGAGAGCAATGCCCGTTTAGATTTTACTTTGAAATTTTGTTTGGCAACTGTCAGTGTAATATCGTTTTCCAGATGGGTCTTTTGAATGCGTAGTAAAAACCCTAGATATAAAAGCAAGTCTTTTAAAACTCTTGTACATGTTGTACTAACATATCATGCTTTTGTTATATTTCCAAAACCAGTAAAGCTTTTTTTCTTTCCCAAAAAGTCCATTAAAGCTTGTGACAAGAGAACATGCACCCTTTGTTAGCATGAATATTCCCAGAGAATAAAACTATATTTGTGGATCCTGTTCCTATTGTACCTTAAGTTCTGCTTGTATCACTAGATGATTAAATAAGTGATACTAGAATGCGTCACCCACTGTTTTTTGTTTGCTATGCCACCATTTCTTTCTGTGCATGTAAAAGAGGCGAAGATTTTATTCCTTCGATCTAAGAAGCACGGTCACGGATACGACACGACACACACGACATTTCTTAAAAAAGGAGGATACGGACATGTTGGAGATACATTATAAAAAATTATATTTTATGTATAACATTATTATAATTTATTGCAAATATAGTGATAGTGATATACAATTCATAAAAGATTTAGTATTTTATGATAAGTAAATCTTATGTGTAATCATACGTGTAAATTTTTAAGTTAAAACATCCTCATAATAGTCAATAATTATAAATTTTTTTTTTGTAGACAATGTGTACCTAATATATAATTTAAATAATTGCTTTCATTTTTTCAATTCTTTTTTTTTAAACTATTGTGCTTCTTTTATTTTTATTATTATATTTGGACTACAATTTTAACATGTCTACTATTAGTAATTTTATGTTCTCAAAATTTTAAACTTTGTTTATCACATTTCAACACATGTTTATTGTTTAATAGTAGAAACGTTTTAAAGAAGTGTCGGATACGTGTCCGAAATTAAAAAAAAAATTATTTAATTATGGATACATCGGACACGTGTCTGAAGAGTGTCGGTGTCCGACACGGATACGTCACCTCCTCGAGAGTGTCCGTGTTTCATAGCCTTCGAACAATAGCCATTTATTGGCAATATTAATTGCTTAATATTTAATCACAATGCTCTCAGGGATGTTTGATGAAAATGTAGTTTAAGCACTTCGTATTCAATTCCTAAACTCGAAGATTTTAACTTCAAAGAATAACATACAGGCATAAATTTTTGGACACAACCTAGTCTGGACCTTCCCTTCTTTTCTTCTAAGCTTGTTCAGTTGGTACTGGTGAGTATTCTGGACGCAGAAGTCAGTTGGATATTTTATTCAAGTAATAGCTAATTCTGTTTATTTCCAAAATGCTATGCTTTTGTGACCCACAATCATATTATGGCAATAACCTTTGGAAAACAAAGTTAGCAGTCTCACGACTCTCACCATTCAAATAACACCCTTCTCAATATCATTTTTCTTACTCTGATTGTTTGAGGGATGGGTTAGACTTTTGTAGAAGGGTAGTTTATGGGAACGGTTGTGACGAAGTGAACACTGATGTGGATTGCCAACTCAGCATATTAAAACCACTTTATTACGGAAGCAATCCCACACGTCATATAGGTGGATTTCTTGGTTTACGTCTCATTAGAGAAAGCCAAAGGGACACGTCTACATCTTCCTCTTACTCACGTCTGTAGGTTGGTCAAACAAATCACTTGCTCTGGATGGATCACACCCTCAATTGCGTCCTGTGGGAGCATCCCTTTTGGAGCCTGGAGGATAGCTTATGCTTTCGTGATAAAACAGATGATGCTTACTGTGAAATATGTGACCACCTTGGGTTGTTTGACATCATCGGGAAATGGTTTGCCTCTATCACCATGCTTCATTACGTGGCATGACAAATTCCTCTTAAAAAACTTCACCATCTGCAAATCTAATCCTGTTCAACTCTACTTATCTTTCCACATGGTTTTCGAGACTCGAGAGCACGGCTGAAGGATACCTCCAAGCATAGTACATATTGATTATAGGCTACGCCTTAATGGAGTCGATTATTTCATGAATTCTAGTTCTCATTGGAGGTAAAGAGTGGCTCCCTCATTTTTAGAGGAATTTCAGCCACTCACCTTGATAAGATTCTTTTTGCTATGATAATATAAACTTTTACGAAAGCTTATCTGCCTAATCCCTAGGTCTTTACTATATTTTTCTCTGTATGTGACCTTATATGGATTTATGGAAATATTCATTTGCGTCATTCCATTTTCTCATTTCATCCTAACAACATGCTTTTTTGTTTCACTATATTCACCTCATTGTTTTGTTGCATAAACCTTTGCATGATATTTTTAAGGTTAATTATTTATCCAATGATTTCACTCTGCAGTAATTGAGTAAAACTGATCTGAATCTTACACTCAGTCGATTGGAGGTTACTTTTGAGAATGAATATGCAACAAGTTGTACAGCCCAGACCTTCTGCCAATGGATTTGGCCGTCGGCGAGGTGAAAGAGAAATTGGGACTAGGTTGGAGAATAAATCGCATCTTGGAAAAGTGAATTCCAACAGGATGACAAGTGCAGGTGAGAATTGCTGACCTGAATCATTTATTATTGTCTCATGTCTGTTCCTCTAACAATAGTTGGTTCAGGTGTATTGACTGGCACCAAAGGGGGAGGATATGAAAGCCCCTCACGTGAGCGTCTAGTGTATTTAACAACATGTCTTATTGGACAGAACGTGGAAGTGCAGGTGATAGATGGATCTGTATTCTCTGGAATATTTCATGCAACAAACGCTGAGAAAGATTTTGGTATGTACAAAAAATCTCAAACATTAAAATTTGTCATGTGTGTTGTGGAAGTTGGATCTTGAAATGATATCACGCCTTGTACTTATCCACTTGCCTTTTTATGTTGACTTGGTTGTCATTTGCAGGAATCATGTTGAAAATGGCTCGCTTAATAAAAGCTGGTTCTTCTCGAGGACACAAGAATAATTTAGATTCTGTTAATAAGCCTCCTTCAAAGGCTTTAATTATACCCGCTAAAGAGCTTGTGCAAATCATAGCAAAGGTTTTGGTGGATTTTTTTATCTATGTTTTTGATTATTAACTTAGTGGCAGATACTTCGTAGTAAAATCAACTTCAAGTTCTCATGAATGTTACTGTTTTAGGATGACTTTTTGATTGTAAATCATAGATATCATGTTATTTTTTTTTGGCAGTGATGATCTTTTATCATTTTCTTCTTAGATGTGCTTGTTTTTTCCTCAACAATATATTTGGACCAATATTAATGAAAATATTTTGTCCAATTGGACCAGGGTGTTTCTGTAACTATGGATGGGTTGATGAATGAACTTCATCATGAAAGGCTGCAGGAGATTATGACAGACTCCTATATATCACAATCTCGACATGTCGAGGCGGAAAGAGAGTTGGAACGCTGGGTTCCTGATGGAGATGATCCTGAATGTCCTGAATTGGAGAATATATTTGATGGCCCTTGGAATAGGTTGTTAAATCACTTTGTTCTTTATTTTTGTGTTTTTGTCAAGTGATTGCCTACCTTAGTTGGATGATATGTGATTCTTCTGGTGATTTTTATGCCAAACCAACTGTTATCTTGTCCACCACCTATAATTTTTTTTGTATCTACTGGTATTAGGCTGGTTGCGTATCATATACTGTGAATTTAAATTTTGCTAGTTGGAATGGTCTTGTTCGATGTGCTCCTTTTACAAGTTTGATGTATATCCTTTTAGCGTTGAATAAGTTGTTTTGACATGTGGTGCTCTTGGTGGAAGTGACTTTTTCGATCATCATTGTGCTGAAACGTCTAGCTCTACTTCCATTGTCTGAAGTAGTTAGCAGGATTTACCAAACTCCTAACGACCTACAATCTAGGTACATCGATGTCAGATGGGATGTGTTTGCAATCTAGATCACCAAATATAGATTTATAAAAATACATATTAATTGATTATATGTATATAGATTTATAAATATCTATTGTTTTAGATAATAGACAATCAGGTACAAATGTAAGATAAATGATAACTAACTTGGTGTACTCAAAACACCATACTAGCTAAGTTTACTCCCATCGTATTACGTACGTAAGAAAGTATTGTACCTGTACTCGTACCCGTACCCGTATCACGCACTAAAGCGGCCTACGATCCAGGAAACACTAGTTTGAACTGAACTCTTCACAGATGAATGTTGTTGAAATCTGTTGTGTTTTGGTCTAAAATTTACGGTGCAAACATAAACATTGTGAAAAGGCCCTAGACAGAATATTGAAAGGTAATTGCACATTTTCATGGTTGTGTGGTGCTGGATGTGAGCTTTTACATTTTGTAAGGAATTCTGTTTGATTCCAGTGGCTCTTGCATCTTACATTTGGGTTTGTATGTGGGCGACATAGTATGTGCATTCTCAGAGGTATTAATATGGAGTGGTGAAGTTAAAATTGTTGGGTGACCCCGAACAAAGCTTTCTTTGGTAATCGTACCTCAAAGATTTTATGGTGTCATTAAAACTGAGTTGTGCTATAAGTCAATCTCTATTGTTGTTTGTTGTGTTGACTACTGTTTCTTTTTTATTTTGTGCTTTCAAGGGGCTGGGATCAATTCGAAGCCAATGAAACATTGTTTGGAGTAAAAAGCACTTTTAATGAGGAACTATATACTACAAAACTCGAGAAAGGTCCTCAGATGAGAGACTTGGAAAGGGAAGCTTTAAGGATAGCCAGAGAAATTGAGGGTGAGGACACCCATGATCTTCATTTAGCAGAGGTGAGATATCTGTAGCCTTAATTTGTATCAGCTACTTAGTTTCTTTGTCTATCTTTCTTTCTTACATTTTCCTTTTTGATATTCCATCCTGAAAATCGTCTCATATGTTTTTTTTTTATAATAGGAAAGAGGTATTCAACTTGACGAAAAGTTTGAAATTGATGAGGAAACCAGATTCTCGTCAGTCTTGAGGGGGGTTGATGACAGTGGATATGATGAAAATGAGGACATATTGTTGGATTCACACAATATTGAAACATTTGGAGGTGTCTCTGGTTCTGTCATTAGTGGGTCGTTTACTGAATTGACGAGGGTGAAAAGTACTGATGGTGCTCAAGTGTCATTATGCTCTTCATCTATGGTATATTATTTACTGCATGATCTTTGTCTGGTGTTTTTCTCACGTCTTAACATTTTTGTTTTATTCTGTTTGTCTTCTTTGATCAGTTGTTTTATGTGACTCTTGCTTCAACCTCTTAACTATTTTAGGTGGTGATGATAATAACTAGGACAATGCTGTAAAATTTTGAAAAGTATTCATTAAATGGAAGTCATGGCCTTGACAATACAATTGCAAATACCGAGGGCCTGTTTAGATTGTGTTCCAAAAACTGTTTTTTGTTCTCAAAACACTAAAAAGTAGAGAAAAGCTGATTGATTAAAAACAGTTTTTCAAAAAAAGTGGAAACTGAGATAAAAAATCAGAGAACACCTAAATGATGTTATCTGTGTTTTCAAGGCAAAATAGAAAACATGATAAACACCCCCCTCCTCTTTAATGAAGTCCATACTTCGAACATCTTTAGCGGCAAAGGCCCCCATTTATTGTTCTTTCGTCTGCTCTCTCATTTGCACTCTCTCTCGTCTACTCTCACTCACTCTCCCTCTCTCCCTAACCCAACAAATATATATATGTATAGATCTGTGTATATATATATATATGTGTGTGAGTGTGTGTGTTTGCTGTGTGAGTTGTGTGGGTGTGGAGAGAGAGAGAGAGAGAGAGAGATGGGAAAGACATAGAGAGATGGGAATGGAGATGAAAATTGGGGGTTTTGTAGATTATTGTCCAAACAGGTTTTACAATTTTTTGTTTTAAAACTATTTTAAAAAACATATAACTAAACAAGTTTTGCAATATAAAAATATTAAAACACACTCTCGTAAAACTCTTCTAAAAAACTGTTTTTGGATATTATTTTTCGAGACGCAAACCAAACAAGCCTGAGATTCTGTGCCCATAAGAGTGTTGTACTGGAACTTCATATTTTCATCTAATTAAAATTTGCATGTGTGCTTCGGGGAACACTAGTATTTGCCTGGTTGTTTACAGAATCCATTCATGATTTGGAATATTCCATCCTTGAGGGGGCTTTGTTGCTCTTAACTCTTGGAGAATAGCTGCCACCATAGCTCCCCATGTCGGTATGGATCCCCAGGCGAAGTAATCATACCAAATAAGGTTCTTCCCATGAGCTAATAACGAAATTGTTTGCAACAGACTCTTTCCTCCACACTCTCGTTGAAAATACACCAAATAATTTAATGTGTCATCTCAGGTATTAAACAGGACAAAGTTAGACATGTGGTATTCCGTGGAGTCTGGGCAAATGTTGAGCAATTTATCTATATTTCCTGTGAAGAAATAATTTGCTGTTTTCTAACGTGCATAATGTGTTGTTTCTATCTGTATTTGTGGCATGTAGGATGCAGTACAATCTTCTCAGACAAGCACTGGCAGGGATTTATACCGGTCTGTTTCTAATGATCATGCTAGACAGCTGCCATCTGAACATCTTTCTGAATGTATTTCAGATTTGGATGGTGCAATCAGGTTCCTGTTATGTTTTGTGATGCATTTATAGTTTCTCTCCCTTGGGGTATATAGATCGTCCTTCATGGGAACTGACAAGAGTAATACATCTTAAATTTCTTCAAGAGTCTCTAACTGAGCATCCTTTCATTTTAGGATTCAAGAGAACCAGTTCAGTGAACATCACGTCGTAAGTAATAGCACCGACGATGTAGAAAAACAAAAGGTGATGAAGCTATGACTTCTATTGAATGCTTGCCTCACAGATTTGGTGCTTCATCTAACTGCTTCTGGATTTGCTGCTTTTGCATATTTCTTGACAAACATATTTCTGTTCCTATTTATGCAGCTAGCCGACGTGTCACGAAGGTCAAAATCTGAGGGTGAGTGAAAGCGTTTGATCTGATCTATAAACTGGTCCTAACAAGTATTCAATAATTTCCAGACCAGGATAATTATGGTTCTAGTTACTTGGTTGAGATATGTTGCTACTGGCCATCCTGCTAAGTTTCATATGTTACTATGAATGAGTTTTTCTCAAGAGTAGGTAAACTGGAGTAGGTAACAGCTTTTCTTTTGCCCCCCTTGTTTGCTTTTAGACGCATCTAGGGCTGATTGACGTAACTATCGGTTAGTCTGTTAACTGGTCCGACAATGAGAAAATCAAATAGTCAGAAAGCTCTGCTTTCATTTGGGTGTTGAGGTATCTTCCCATGTAGAAGTTTTGAATTCAGCAGAGATTTTATTATGACATAGTCTGAGGAAAACCTCCTCGGCCTTATCATTGTGGAAGATGTTACAAAGCTTATATCTTTTAGCGTGGATATTTGAAGAATTTACATGTTACGCTTTTGTTCGTTATTTTAGGGAAACATGTCCAGTGGGGTTGATTCATTTGGACTTTCGTCGTTATGTTCAATTTTTCCATGAAATCACCATGAGGCTGCTACTTTACAGCTGGTGACTCAGCCAAGTTTAGTGGACTACTTGACTTGTGGTGTGATCCCTAAACCTGGACTAGGTCAAACACGTTAATAAGATTTGCTTTATTGCTGATCCTGAGCGATTCTTCTGTTGCTTTTGTTGCTGTGCGTGAATTTCTATTGTTTCTCCTTGTGGGTAGACATGTGCCCAAGTTCTTGCAGTTGCTAACTCCCCTTCTACCTTTTTGCAATTGCCCAACCTGTAGAATAGGATTTTATCTCTAACTGCTTCTTATTTGCCTTTGCATCATTGCTAATATTGTTACTCCCGCAATTTTGAATGTGTGGTTTAACTACTGGATCTTGGATCAATTCACTATGCAGATACAGTGTCATCAATGACACCAAAGAAAGAAAGCTCTGATAAAGGTGGACTATCTCCAAATGCGATTGAATATGCCCCATCTCTTGTTTCATCAAAGGGGCCGGAAAAGTTGAGATCTCCTAGTGAACTGTCGGAGGGTGCTCTATCTGGAAAAACACGCGTGGCAACACAATCTGTTAACTCTCGTGCACGACCTGGTAGTTCTACATCATCCACTTCCGATTGTGGAGGTGCTGCCTCAGCTTTACGAGGCCCTGGTTTATCACCAAGCTCATCAGTGGGTTCGTTGACTTCAGAAAAGTCAACACTGAATCCTCATGCTAAGGTGGGATTGACATGAAGTTTTTTTCTTTCAGAAATTGCAGTAGCAATAATGATCACAACAATCAATTCCTCTTAAATGTTTTCCGTCTTATCAGATAGCCGCTGCAATGTGGCTAATAAATCCTGCTTCACTTTGTATTCTTATCCTTTTGATTGCTTTATCAGGAATTCAAACTCAATCCAAATGCAAAGAGTTTCATCCCATCTCAGACTCCATTAAGGCCTGCATCCCCTGTATCTGATGCTTCCTTCTACTATCCTGCTAATGTGGCTGCTGTCCCTCATATGCATGGCATGCCCGCAGGCATGGGGGTAAGTAGTTTGTCGTGGCTTAGAATAGTACCTTAACAGCTTTCTCATAGTTTTAAAACACAGAGAGTGATATGTAAGGTGTTAAATTGGCCATGTTAATAATCTAGATGTGTGTGCTTCACAATTGAACATCCCCTGGCATCTGGACATGTGTCCATATGTAGCAACCATGAATGCCTATTTGACAAAAATTGTTCCATTTTCGGTTTCATGACCCATAGCAAATTTTAAGGTGGCAACATGGATTGTGTATGTAAATGCTACACTGTGGAGCACTGGACCCAGTCTTCTCTCTTTCGATTGTGGACTCTGATATTTTTCTGAAAATAATTTTGTCAAAGAAATCGGTTGGCGTATTTGACATACTGTACAAGCATTCTTAAAGTTTTGGTACGATGCAATGTTTTCCTTTGCATTTGCCTTGGTTCAAAAACAATTCAGGCTCTTTGGAGTTGATCATGTTACACTTGCTATTGTATAGGTGCTGTATAAATCTTTTACCTTTTTAGTTTTTTCAAAAGGGCTATAAATGGGTGCTGTTGGAGGTTAGGCATTAGCACAGGATATTTGTATCTTACAGACTCACCAACTACTGGAAATATATAAGAGACATGACTGAAGGAAAGGAGACACATTTACATATGTTGAAATAAGTTCTCATAGAAAGTTATGTGATGAGCAATGCGATGCTTACATGATAGTTGCCCGTCGTTAGGCAAATTGTGGTGTTGCTGAACCCCCTGCTTGCACTCTAAAACATCCACATACTTGCAGACAAAACAAAATTTAGGAAAATAGAATGAAACATGAAAAGAGGATGTTGCTTTTGTTTTGGTTTTTTTCCCTGCTGGTTTCTTTTTGGTGGCTAATTATATGATTTCTGCAGATTGGACCCTCATTTGCTGCACAGCAGCCTGTTATTTTCAATCCACAGGCTGTTCCAATGCAATCACCGCAGGCATATTTTCATCCAAATGGACCTCAGGTATATACTTTTGTAATTGTTTTTCGTGGTTGTATGTGCATTATTCTGCATTTTATGAGAAGTTCCGGCAGTAATATTGGTGTTCATTGCAGTACGGGCAGCAAATGATTATTGGTCACCCTCGGCAAGTTCTCTACATGCCAACCTATCCCCCTGTAAGAAACTACATTATACCTTTTTCTTCCTTATAAGCTCTTCATTTTGATACATATATTTTTTTTTCATACTGGACACTGACGAAAACTCAATTTATATTCATTTAAGAAAGTCTGCTGATTGTGATGCACCTCACTGGTGACAAGACAATGTATGCTATATTAGACCATGAGGGTTATTTTTCACACTCGATTGATTTAACACTCAGAAAAATGACTATGCCATTTATTGTTGGGGAAGGACTGGGGAACAGTAAAATCATATTCAATCAATAAGTGGAACATATATATCACAATTTGTGTAGAATAAACTTTCCTGGACTTGGTAATGGACCAATATTAAGCAATTCATGATATGGGTGCTTTTTGGTTGACAGGAAATGGCATACAAAGGGAGAGATTTTTAGCAAGTGGATTTTTTTAGCCAGCTAATCGACGGAATGCAGTCTCAAGGATTCAATCTGCTGTGCTGTTGGGGAATAAAATTCTTACACCAGACTGCTTGGAGCGAATTTGGGTAAAAAAATCCCAGCAGCTGATACATTTCCATTAGTTCTCAAGCACTGTTTGTGAGGGGGGAGCTTTAGTCATGTCGGGAGATTATTTAATAATCTTGTAAGCTTCTCCCATACGTGTCTTGGGATGTTCTCTAAGTTCTTAAACTTGTTGCACCTTTTCATTTGTTTCTTTCTATTTTTTTTTTAAATTCAGATAAAAGTTAGAAGAATAACCTGAATATGCATTAGATGTTTTACTTCATCTTATTATTGTCGTCAACTTGGTTTCTAAGTTTATGGTTATTGGTACCATTAGGGTTTCTGATACCCTACCGAGGCCAGGCTACCATCTTGACTCCTCTTTGATTCATGGCAACAAACCAAGAAGAGGAGGGAGGGAGGGGGGAGG